CCTGTTGTTCGGTCCCTGCTCCTGCCAACCTAGCAGTTTGAAAGCATGAAGTGCAAGTAGATAAATAAATCCCACTCTGGCGGCAAGGTAAACGGCGTTTCTGTGCACTGCTCTGTTTCGCCAGAAGTGGCTTAGTCATGCTGGCCACATGACCAGCTGTATGCTGGCTCCCTCAGCCTATAGAGCGAGATGAGCACCGCAGCCCCAGAGTCGTCTGCGACTGGACCTAACGGTCAGGGGTCCCTTTACCTTTACCTTTACCTTATCTTATTATACACATTTCAGTTGTGTGCCACAAAAGAACTCAAGATGCATGGACAGAGGCTCTATTATGAGCCCTTCAGGGAAAGAGAGCAATTCTTTCCTAGCCCTAGCCAACCTATTCATTTCAGTACCTCAGTTACTCTGCCTGTATATAAAGGGGTCAGTGAATCTGCTTTATGAACTTTTGGGTGGGATCTAGTCTTGACACCTCCCCACTTCCACAGATCTTACTGATAGCAGCAGTTTCCAGAGAGCAAAATTCTGGGTGAATGAGCTGCAGAACTTTGAGGAGGTAAGTAGATCTCCATTTCTAGGCAGGGAGAAAAGAAATATTCGCCTCACTGGGAGAGCCACAGGGAATGTTGGTCTTACAGAGGAGCATCATTCTATAATTTGTATACTGGGACACTGGAGGGCAGTTTCTCAGGGGGATGGAGGGTGGCCAGTTGTTGATAGGTTACATGGTTGCTTGACTTGTATCTCATGTTTTTGGGAAGGTCAAAAGTATGAGGCTTCCAGACCGTCTCCCAGGTGGATTTAGCAGCGCAACAGCATTGTGTGTAACCATTCCCTGAGCTCTGTTACTTGTGTGCACCTTAGGATTGCATTTTGGGCATGTCAAATTATTACTGTTACTACTACTACATTTTAATTTATTACCTGCCCTTCACCCTAAGGTTCCAGGGCAGGTTACAACAATTTAAAATACAGTATGAAACAGTTTTAAAACTTACAATTAAAAAAACACAGTCACAAAAAAATAGGGCGGGTCCTGTTGGTTTGGCTACATGGATTCTTGGCAATACCTGCTTGCTAGACTGACCTTGTATGGAAGTTTTTGCCTTGTTCTCTTTCTCTGCAGAACTGCAGGATCTATTTGTGTGGCACCAAGTGTGATTTGTTGGACGAGGACAGGAGAAGGCGAGGAATTGACTTCCATGATGTGCAGGACTATGCGGATGGTTAGGCTTTTCTTCTTCACTTGTTGGGAGGAGAGAAAGGGAATCACAGTGCTCTTAACATTGGTGCATCTACAGTGGCGGTCCCCATTGCAGAGTAAACATACTAAAACTTTCCGTCTGACATACTGTCATTTCAGAGATCAAAGCCGAGCTGTTTGAAACCTCCAGTAAGACTGGACAGAATGTGGGTGAGTATTGCTTCCAGGGTGCATTGCAAAGCTTTATGGTGCTTAAGTGTGGCTAATGCCTCTGGACAGTCACACCCAGAGTGAGAAGACTGCTGTTCTCCATTTGGTTGGGGACAGTTTGCATATGGCGTCACTGTGGCTCCTGATAAATAAGGGTGATGCCAAGTACCTTGCCCATGCTTTCTCGCCAGGTGGAACTGCACCACAATTCCAAATTCCAATAAGTTCAAGATTATGGCTGCAATCTGATGAGAGTGGACAAGTGGGGCAGGGCAGTAGGTCTCAAGGTATCACCGTGTTTACCAAAGGATATCCAGGATGCTTATTTCTGAGTTTTGTTCCCTTTTATCATTCAGTCATAATTTTGTAGCCAGTGGCCATTTGCTGCCTCCCAAGTTCAGGTGTTCCTACTGAAGCCAGCTGTGGGCGAGACACCAATCCTGTGTTGCTGTGTTTTGTTTACAGATGAGCTCTTCATGAAGGTGGCTGAGGATTATGCGCAGCTTACTGCCTTTCATGAGATGACAGGTGAGTTTCTGAACAAGATACTTCCACTGTGTGTGTGTGCTCACATGTTCTTCTGAACATGCATAGAACCTCTGGTGCAAATATATTTCCTGGACATGAAAGTGGGACTTGGGGACACACTGAGAATGAAAAAAAAAGTGCTATAAGAATGCCCATGATTTTTTACGTGTAGAAAGCAGAGACTCTATGAACTGCATTTCCAAATGAACTCTATTGCCTCTGGGAAGAGAGGAGCTGGGGAAAGCAGGGGAGGGGGACCTAACTGCAGTGGTTCAGGGTAGGGGGAGGTATAGTGTGGAAGGGGGGGCAGACTGTCAGGGGCACACAGCACAGGCAGTTAGCGACTGTGCAGTGTGCCAGCCCCCCTCCACCTGGGGAATTGCAGTTGTCCTGTCAGCCAGCTCTTGGACTTGCTGCTGCTGCTGTTGCTGAATGCCAGGTTTGCTCTTGAGTAAGACCTCCCTCATCCATGATCTGATTGTGGATGAGGAGGCTGTTCTGGTCTGTATCATTGAGACCTGGCTGGATGAGCAGGGTGGAGTTGGTCTGTGCCCACCTGGGTACTTGGTGTGGCATCAGGACAGACTTGAGGGTCAGGGAGGGGGAGTTGCGATAGTCTGTAGACTCTCCCCGTATGAACCAGCCTGGGCCCTGCGATCATCTGAGGCCCTTATTTGTGCCTCCTCTGTGAGAGGTCTAGAGGGTGGCAACACAATAAAGGGCCTTTTCTGTGGAGATTCCATCTGGGGAACGTTCTCCCCAGGAAGGCACACCTGGCACCTTCGTTGCATATCTTTAGGCAAAAGGTGAAAACCAGGCATTTCAACCAGGCATTTGGCTGGTTAACAGTCCATGGCTTTTTAGATGTGGGAGGGGGAGGTTATTGGTTTGCTTTTATTATATATTTTGTATTTTTCTGTTGTGAACCACTAGGCTCTTTAGATGAAGGACTGTATACACATTTAATTAATAATAGTAATAGTAATAATTGTTGATAACATGGGAGGGTTGGGAGTGGGGGATAGTCTGTTGTGTGTTGGTCTTTACCCCCTGTATGCAAACTTGATCTGCACAGGGCAGGACTTTTCCCTGGGAGAAAGAAATCCTCTTAACAGAGCCATTAAATATTCTGCTGCTACAAATCTGCCCCTCTTGCCTAACCCTTGCATATGTTCTGCTTTCAGAGGAGAAAGGAGTTGATCTGAGCCAAAAGAACACTACCACCTACTTTTATAGCTGTTGCCATCACTGAGTTCTTTCCTTGTTTTGCCAAAGCAGCAGTGCTCCCCTCCTGGGATAGCAGTTCATGCTGTCTTTGGATAGTTCACACTGTTTCCCTGCTGTATGGAATGTCTTGCCCTTTCGGACCTGTGGAGCATCACTTGCTGGCACTTCTCCTTGGAATGGGGGGAGGGGGGAGAACACGGCACACGCTGCGAGATTTTCTGCTGCCTTCTTGACCAGAGACCTTGACTGCCTTGTGCTCCCATCCCTTCCAGAGGCTGACTTAAAATTCTTGACGCGCTTCAGGAATTGTTTTTTCACAACTGGCTCTCCAACGCTGAAGACACCTTGTTCTGGCAGTGGTTGGTTCTGCTGTTTTGATGGTGTTGCACCTGATTTTTTGCTTTATTATTTAAATGGCTTCTAACAAGCTATGTATATGTAAATAAAAGTGCATTGTGGTCCTGTGTTGTTGAGAAACACAGCTAGGTTTGTGTTCTTATTGAAGTTACTCAAACTTGTTTCCAGGCTAAACTCCTAGAGGAGATGGGAAGAAACATGGGTGCCTCTCCTACTACATGGGCTGACCACCAGTTTCTAATGGTTGACGTTTCTCTGTGACGTTCCAGCAGTTGAAACATGCATTGGTACAGGGAGAAAAAACAAGCATCTGAGGAGGCTTAGGAATTTGCTGCGTTTTTTTTAATCGGCCAATTTGATAGATGTGTACGTGTGTGATAAACAGGCCCAGTTGCTCCAGTACTGTAAATGCATCAATCAGCATCACAGAACAGTTGTAGATACAAGCAGTGATGGGCTTTGCAGCAGTTATAAGGCGGCTGGAAAATGAAGGGGAACCTGGGCTAGGCTATAGTTGGCTGGATCACCAGGGTTGCTGATCTACACAAGCAGGCCACCCTCTTTCCAGAGAAAGCAGAAAGGCAGATGCAGCTGGGGATCCCTGTGCCAAGGACGGTGCTGGCCTGTACTGTGGAAGTTGAAGCACGGCATGGCAGCTGAATGGAAAAGGTTACAGAGCTGCACAATACTCTGCCATTTGACGGAGTGGGCTATTTCTATCCGTTTTCCTTTACATGATCATCTCTGTGGAATGGAACATACCGATGGTTTTTCTCCAACATATGCTCTCTTCCCTTAGATGTTTTGGAGTGTGTTTTATGCTTTAAATATATATACCTGGATATCTTTTTACTATATTGTTACAGGTAACTGCCATGGTGCAACTCTGGTCTTGGCTAACCTAGTGGCCTGTGGCTGGGGGAGAAGCAATTGGTAGGCACAAGGTAGGGCCCCTCACTCAGTGCACTAAAATTTGGGGGCAAAAGTATTGAAAGTGATCTGTGGGCTGTAGTTCCATTGACATCTACCTCTGTGTCAAATTTCAAAGGCTTTACACAAGCAGCAAGAGCCCCAAAGCTTCCTAAGAGTTATTTGCTACATTGATAATAAAGGTCCATTCTCAGGTTGATTTACCAAACCTTTAAGTCTCTATGGAAGCTGAGTTTTCAGAAGTAGTTGCTAAATGGTTAGATGCACCTCACAAGTTAAAATTGAGAGCAATATCTCAGACTTTGTATCATTCTGAAAAACCACTTCTCTCTAAGCTATAAATTACTGTTTGGATCTGGTACAAGCTGAGCAGCCCCCTCTCCATTCCCCCAGCTGTGACCCACAGAAGACCACAAATTCAAGGTCCCTACTATTCCAGGCGGCTGTATCTCTATACAGACTTACAGAGATTCCAATTTGTTTTTTAGATTAAAAAGCAGATTAGAATCTGCCATATCTAGGCTCAATAAAAAAGCACACACAGTCAAGAGCAAAGTTAAACTTTACTTTACAGTAATTGCTTTCTTTTATATACAAAGAATTACAGTACATATTTTGGGAACATTTGGGTAGGACAACTTTGTTTTTCATTGTCATAGTTTTTACACACACACAGTTAAATGAGTCAGGGGAGGAAAAATAAGAATCCACGAGCCAAAACTCTTCCTCTTCTTCTAATGTAGATACTGTAAAGCATTTCCCTTGCCGGCCATTTGTAGAGAACGTAGATGAGAATAGGACAGCTCTGTAAAAAGACATTATGCTTGACTGTTGGTAACCACAATATATGCACTGAAAAGAATTCCTTCCCCATTATTCATGCAGAAATACTGCAATTATGCACTGGAGTGTCATTGCAGAACAGGACTTCTCCTGCAATTGCTCTGTTCAGTCACAGCTCCCAGCAGAGAGTCTGGGAGAGTCAGCATGCAGCATACTGCCTGAGGGCAAAGCAATACAGCTTGGAGAAATGCAATATTTCATCTCCAGCTCATGTTAGCACTACACGCTACTCCATTTCTGTACCAGCAGCTAAATGAGTGGGGAGAGCTCTCCAGTCTTAGCCCTGCCCAAACCCCTTTGGAACAAATATGGGGGTGGGGTGGGACTGTCAAACGATTAGAGAAGAGTTTCTCTCTCCCAATGTATTACAGACCTGAACAATTCAAAAGCACCACACCATACATTACTGAAATAAGCTGCTACAGCAAAGGAATATGCCCTGTGATGCTGCTGAGGAGAAATGGAAGGAATGGCACTTAGCTGCCCCATGCCACATCTGCTTAGCACCCACTCAAGGGAATAGGGTTAGTGAAATTCCAGATGTTTCCAAGATGATGCTCTGCGTAGGCTGAGAAGTGGTTTACTATGCACAAATACCCTTGCAAGCATTCACTTTCAAGAGACCACACTGCCTCAGTAGGGAGAATAGGAACTAAGTGTCGTTTGTACACACTGATCCCATCTTCCAGAAAATCAGAGTCTGGGAGCATGGGAGGCAAAAATGTGGCCATTTTAAAATATAACTTCTATTCCTGCCTGCCGTCAGTACTTGAGAAATGTGCTCTGACATCTCTTGCTTTCAGACATGAAATCCAATACTTGTTAAAATCATCACATTCCCAGCATCCCTAGCCCTCTGACTCCCACGGAAGGGAATCCATCAATACTGCAAAATGTCACACACTCAATGCATTTGTTAACAAATTTCTGTATCTTACCAGTCATGCAGATTTGACGGAAAGGGGAAAGGCTTTATTCCGTTTCAGCACAATTATGTAGTCTGCAGAATGTTTAAAATCTATTCCAAATGTTGTCACGATTATTATTATTTATTATTATTATTATTTAAAAAGCCTACAGCTCAGCTCCTCCATTCCAAAGTATGCATCCTAAACCAGGAGTGGGGATCCTGTGTCCCCTCTAGACACTGGCATACAATTCCTATCAGCCCGAGCTAGCAAGGTCAGGGTGAGGGAGTTGGAGTTCAACATCTGCTCTTCACCCCTGCCCTAAACCAATCAAATAACCACCTTAGTAGCCACAGGATAATGCAAAAGGTGATGCATTCTAGGAAATTCCCATCACAGGTGCTCTAAGCAGCATGTTAGTCAATTGCACAGATGGGGAGTTTCCAAATATTTTAACATAAAGAGAACACTCTTCAGGCAACGACCCAGGGGAAAAGGGAAGTAATTCTTGCAACATTAAAGTGAGAGGGGCAGAGGGGAGCACTGAATAGAGGTATACCCTGTTGAGCTGCTATAAATACCCTGATTGCTCAAAAATAAACATGAACATCTTTTTAACAGATCTAGGCACTTGCAGCTGATCTAATCCCAGTCCTGTTGGCGCCCTAACTTTTGGAGAAACATCCAATGGGGAAAAGCACAGAGACAGAACACCTGATTTCTGGAGAATGATCTGCACCATTCTGTACAGCAACTACTTATTTTTCATGTGGCAAAATTTTAATTACCTGTGAATATTTTATAAATGGGGTGGAAATTGTATTTTGTTAGCTTCATTGTAAACAATGCCAGTCAAGGGTGCAAGTACAACTACCTGACTCCACTATAGTCTATTATTCCATGAAACTATGGAGCTAGTGTAGAATCTGGCACTTGAGAAGCTCAGGATGCTGCTGAATCATCTTTTCAATTGTTTTGTGTAAAAAAAAAAAAGGTTCTAAGGCTGCAAAAAAAAAAAAAGGTGGGGTGGGGGATTCCTGGTTTAATTTCAGATACTCATGGGTGGAGGAGAGTTGCTGGGCAAAATTTGTTGTCATACCTAGTTCTTTGCCCCTTCCCATGATTAACAGAAACAGAGTAAGTTATGAAATAAGCAAACATATACAAATCTCTTTTTCTGCATGATCCAAATGTCACAGTATTCAATTCAGCTTTTCTTGCCACAGATCTGGCCTCTTGGCACAGATTTTCAAGCACAAAATGTGCAAAGCTCTATGTCCCACTAGACCCCAGCATTATAGCACCTTATTTTCTGCATGAAATATAGAAACATGATGGGGAGTGTGTAAGATTTGCGCACCAGAAGCCGCTTGCCATGCTCACACCCCTAGCAAAGTACCACATAAGCAACAGCAGAATAGAACATGCCTGGACCATTTTAAGAAGCAGGATTCAATTTTGTTTCTGGCAGCCCAGCTCTTGGAAAGGTAGCTGATTCACACTAGGTAAGAGGGTACACAACAGGGGAAGCATTCAGGTCAAATATCTCTCCCAGCACTCTCCTAGCCTGTGTCTGTTTGCATTCTGGATCCCTCAGCGTCAAACAGCACTTGGCTTCTGCTTGGCCAGTGTCCCTTCCTAATTGAATGTTGTGTCTTATGGGAGTGACTGGCTCTTCCCATTTCACATAGGAAACCACCCCTGCTTTGGGTTGAAGGTGCCGATTGGGTGAGGTTCCTGCGTAGCATTTCTCTTAATCTGCACCTTGGGATTTTCTCCTTACTCACCATAACAAACCAGACACCAGTCTCCAGACTTGGAGAGATGCTATCAGTATAAAGTTGTGCTACAGGCATGCAGGTACGCACACTCCACACATACATCCGTGACACTTTCTACTTCAGATGCCCAGTTTAATTGATCAGCTTCTTGTTTCTACAAAACAAGTCCTTCAGGGAGGGAGGCGGCGGCAAAACTGAATCTGTACAGAGAGGCTCTTGAGGGAAAAGGAGAAAGCAGGGCGGCAGCAGACAACAGGGGCTGAAATGCCATGCAAAAATCCGACTGACTTTAAGCAGGAGTTCCTAGATGAGGATTCTGAATGTGCTGCTGCACAGATCCCCTACCGTGTCACGTATTCTTGACCCCTAGCACCTACACTCAGGAGAATTAATGCAAAATGGACTTTTCTCTGTTTTAAAGATTTAAAACAGCCTCCACCAAAAATATTCACAGTTTATTGTTGTTGTTTTTCCATGAAACAAATAGCTAGTTAAAAACACATGACATTGCAAGAACAGAGTTGGACAAAGCAGTGCAGGCATCTTTCTTGTTACAGGTACAGCTGGCTTGGGGTGGGGTCTGGCACAAAGGAAGCCCTAAACACACAATCTACATGACAAAGTCCAGCTCACGGGAAGGCCTAAATATGTAAAATTTAGAGCTTTATTATTATTATTTTCCACACATGAGAAATATTTAACATACTGAACCTCGTGATTGGTTTGGCTTGCTTGTTTAAAAAGGTGATCGTTTTGTTTTAAAAAAGGTTTTTAGTAAAATGCCCTTGGCTTCTTGTTTCTGTCTCGTTCAGAAGAGTTGTCCTGTTTCCCTTTGTGCAGGAGTCACGCAGAAACCAAAATGTACTTGCATTTCCCCATTTTCAGCAATAAGCAACCGCTGAGCCTGCAGGTCTTCGAGGAAAACCAATGTTAAGAACTAAGATTCCATTAGCCATAACGCTTTGCAAAGTCACTAGCTTTGGAGAGAGAGGGAAATGATTCAGGGGAGAGGATGAGATGCACAGTGGGGGGGGGGAATGTTTTGTAGTGCCCAGCAGGTACCATCATTGTGGAAAGCCAGCATTGAAAAAAGTATTGGGTCAGAATTTGAACTGCCACTGTATAGGATCAACTGTAGTACTATTGCAATTCTACAGAGGATCTGAATACCCCAATGATATATGCTTCAAAGTAAGAGGATCAGGGTTTACATAGAAACCAGAACTTCTGCTTTGTGCAAAAAAACAACAACAAACAACACCTGGAAATCTAAAAAGGGCAAATAAGGAGCTGGCCACATTTGCTGCTTGAAGCTGAAGCATGACAGACTGTGCGACTTCAGCTATCCAGGCCAATAGAACATGAAAAGGAGGCAAAAGTTAGCAGGAAAGGTGTGTGTGTGTGTGTGTGTGTGTGTGTGTGAGAGAGAGAGAGAGAGAGAGAGAGAGAGAGAGATTGTTAAGCTGCTTCCAGACATCAGTGTGTCTAACTGAAACCATCATGTGAAATATTGGCATGGTATGCTTGCTTGTCTCTCCTACAGCCAAGATATGAAGAAACCTAGACATATTCAGGGCCAAGTAAGCAATAACTTCTCTGATCCTCAATATAGTTCATCAACAATATCTAACCAGCACCATAGCAAGCTGCATTTATGTCTGGTTGGGTAACAATAACTGCTTCCACCAGAGTTATGCATAATACCAGCCTGGTTACGCACCAGGCATAAAGCGCTGCACTAACTGGGAAAGAGAGATGAAGAAAGGAAGAGAGATCTAAGCCAGCTGCTGCAGCCCTTAGTGTTCCAGTGTGAGAACTATGACCTCAGCTACTTCTGTTTCTGACATGCAGATATTCTTCAGTGTAGCTCAGTTAAATTCAAGTTTTTGTTTCAGTATTTTTTGGTAAGATGGGAAATACTTTAAGCTGGAGACTAATCAAGGTAAGATTAATAAAACACGCTTTCTATCCTGGAAACATTTATTCTCAAATGGGCTATTAGTTCTGTTCTGCCTTCTGAGGTGATACACGTTAGCCAGAGGAATGCACCCCAAATAGTTAGGACTACTGTAAACAATGCAAACATGATTCCTAAGCAACTGCTTGTAGTGGACGGGGGGGGGGGATTAGTTTCATTTGTCCAAAAACACTAATAATTCTTGTTGCAAAGACTGAAAAAAGTTAGGTAACAGCAATGATGCACCACAAAAATTCAGAAGAGAGATTGACTCATTTGTCTAACCTGCTGTTGCCTTTAGTGGTCAAAATTCTGCCTATGTGGGGGCTCTGACTTTACTGTGCTAGAGATCCAAGTCCCAGGATAAGAATGCTAGCAGATGGTATCCCTGAATTTCTTTTCCCCCCACCTCCAATTATAAGGTCTGTGAAGGAGCTTCAGCTGTTCACAGAGGAGCAGACAGTTCCACCTAGTGGAACTGGGCTTCTCAGCTAACTTCAAGTAATGTTTCTTCAAAAAGCACCTGTATTTGTTGTGCCCTGGCAGCATATTCTCAAGCAAAACACTCTCCTAAAAGAACTTTGAGAAATGAAAACTAGGGAGGAAACTGTCAGGTCCCTTCGCTTCGCTTCTCCAGTGACGGGATTCCATCAGTTGAATTGTTTAGGAAATGCAAGGTGCCAGTACAGAATGGCTGGCTTGCAACTAGTGAGATGGAATGAAGCTACTTCTTTGGAACGGTGTAGGAGCTAATCTAGGAGACACACCATTAATGCACGCCTGTCACTCAGACATGCAAGGTTAGTAATTTTGATTATTTCAATGGAATTAGAGATTATTATCCACAGTGGATTCCTTTATTTCAGCTTTATTGTTTCCAAAATGAAGACGGAACAGGCCATCTACATTCTTGCTGCTTGACTGGGCATCGTTCGGATTTAGGTAAATGTAGGTGGGTAGTTTGGGTGGGATGTTGGAAGGTCAAGGATCTGGGGAAGTGAATTTTTTAAAAAAAAACAACCCAAGAAACAAAATACCCTTCCCCATACAATAAAAAAACAAACAAAACAAAAATAGTGACCCGTCTGGCCTCGAACTGGCTTCACTAAGGTTTAGACTCAGTAGGTTCATGGCCAGGGGAATCCTGGTTCAGTACTAGCACCACGTTTTGTTCAGACAAAGGCAAAATGTCCTGCCCCACAGGCGTTTGTGCTTTCCCAGAGAGCCAAGAGATCTGCTCCAACGTTTGAATGTTTCTGGGCAGCCACGATGCCTGTCCAGAAGGCAGTGGAGCTTCTCTTGCAGGCCAAAGGGGTTGTTCAAATGCACACAATCTATCTGTGGGCCAAAATGGCTGCTCCGTGGAAGGTGCAGATGCGGCTTCTTGGCCTGAGCAAAGACTGTGCTCAGGAGACTGCAGTTTCTCAGCTGTCCAAAGTGATTGCTCCACCGATTGCAGTCCTTTCGCACCATGCCAAGGGGTCTGTTCGTGTATTTGAAAATTCTCTAGAGGGCGGGCTGCTTGCCCAACATAGCCCGAAAATTTCCCTGTAGGCCTGCAAGGCTGCTCCTCGGATACAGATGTCCGCTCTTTCTGCTGAGGAGTCTGCTCCACGGTCACAGAGCCCCTTTCTTTTGGCTGAGCGTTCTGGTCAACAGGCCTCAGTGCTTTCTCTGAAAGCAAAGGCCTCAGGCTTAGTGGGGAAGGAAGCTGAGGCCTCAGACCTGTGGTAGTGGAAGGCTTGTCTGATGGCATGGGCCGAGCATCTGCTGGGGTAGAAACCCTGTTGGGCGGCTGTGGCTGTGGGACTACAGGAGTGGCTGGCTTTTCTGATGGTTTAGACCTCAGGGCTATGGGGGTGACTGGTCTGACCACTGGCTGAGATCGTAGGCTCAGTGGAGCAACAGACTTGCCCGAGGGCTTGGGTGTTGGGCCAAGAGAAATGGGCCTGTCCAGTGGCTGAGGCCTTGGAGATTCAGGATCAGCAGGCTTGTCCAACGCCTGGAGCTTTGGTATCTCTGCAGCAGGAGGTTCCTCCGAATTCTGAGACCTGGGTATGCCTGCAGTAGGTGACAGTTCTGACTTCTTGGATCCTGGTGGTTTCACTGTGGAGTTTTTGTCTGTTGTCTGAGGTCCCGATGCCTCCGGAGCAGGTGGCTTGTCCTGAGGTCCTGGTGCCTCTCCAGTGACCGGCTTGTCTGATAGCTGTGACTCATGAGCTACGGTGGAGGATAGCTTTTCTGATGGTTGTGACTTCTGGGCAACAGCAGAAGCCTGTTTTTCAGAGGGCTGTAACCTCAGGGCCACCGTGGAGGGCGATTTTTCTGAGGGATGTAGCCTGAGCGCCACGGCAGAGAGCGGCTTATCTGACGACTGCAACCTAAGGGCAAGGGCTGAGGATAACTTGTCTGAGGGCTTTAACCTCAGGGACAGGGTGGAGGGCAATTTGTCTGAGGGTTTTAAACTCAGGGACAGGGTGGAGGGCAGCTTGTCTGATGGTTGTAGCCTCAGTGCCACGGTGGAGGGTGCTTTATCTGAGGACTGCAGCTTCAGCGCGACAGAGGAAGGCTGCTTGTCTGAGGACTTTAGCCTCAGAGCCATTGAAGAGGAAGGTGGCTTATCTGAGGGTTGCAGCCTCAGGGCCACAGTCAGAGGTAGCCTCTCTGACGGCTGAGATTTCGGGCCTGTAGCCGCAGGCTGCTCGTCTGATGGCTGCGTGTTTTGGCAGCCAGCTGCCGATTCTGTGGAAGGCGCATACTCACGAATCTCTCCTGGCTCTAGAGGGTTAGGTCCGCATGGATCATGTTCTGTGCAGGACAGGCGTCCGTCCAGCTTAGAGATGAAGAGCATGCCCTCTCGGTGCTGCTTGCAAAAGGACCTGGGGCACATCTCGCAGAAGGAAGCTGCCTCTTTGCTGCACACGTCACACTGGTGCCAAGGGCATTCCCATTTCCCTGCAGCACAGGAAAAAAAGGCGCAGCTTAAGAGGAGGTGAGAAAGTCAGATCGGCGACTGGCTGAAATCAACAAGAAAGCAAGCCTGGACTAACCCTGGAGGTTGCTAAGGGAACATCATCCAAAACAGCTCTAGTTTACCAGGCATCCATTTGCCATCATAAACTATTTTGCAGTTATGTAAAATGCAGGAACCCCACTCAGCACGCTGGTTTGTTCATTCAGTTCTAACCACTGTGTTTCAAGTTAGTTTTGGTTCAAGCAACAACAACAACAAAAGTAATGATTTAAATCAAGTTTTCAAACTTAGCAAACTAAGCTGGTGGAACTTCCTTTTATTTGGTCTTTTGTCCACACCAAACAAGCACTCCACTCAGAGATGGTCTGCTTCTGAATGCCAGTTGCTGGGGAACATGAATGAGGAGAGTGTTGTTGCACTCAGGTGCTGCTTCTGGGCTTCCACTGTGAGAACAAGATGCTGGACTAGATAGGCCTTTGTTCTGATGCGGCTGGGCTCTCCTCCTGTTTTTATTATATGAACTGTCACCAGCTGCTAAGTTTGGGAGGCATCATTTCTCGCTCGAGGCTAGTGCTATCGATGCAGCTGTTATACTTAAGTTTCTATGAACAACAGTGAGAATACGTGACTGACCTGCAGGACGCCTGGTCAGATTGAGGCAGTCAGCATGGTACACCTTTGGGCAGCCTGGCCTCTTACAGGAAACCAGCTGCCCTCCATCCCCGCAGCTGAAACATTCATCCTCACGCTCCTTCATAATCTCTGCTTGGGATTTGCGCTTCCCATGCCGCCTCTTGAACTTCTTGGACTTCTCTTCAGAGGCAGGTGGCTGGTTCTGGAGACAAAACAATGCCACTGAGTAAATGCTCAAAGGGAACAAATCCCTGTCCTCATACCTCTTTCTGTTAAACTTCTTTAGCTGACTTGATGAAAGACCACAAGGAAAACAGCTGCAATGACAATTCTTGAGGGGTAAGTAAACAGTTCAATCCTGAATAGGCTGTATGATAAGATTATGTTTTCCTAGTATGAATAAACCCAGGGTTTCCCCAGCTATGAAAGTTCCTAACAAACGTATATTCAATTTTGGACACATTGGAAGTTTTACATTCATCCTGACCATTGTGTCAGGAAAGAACAACAACAACAACAACAACAACAACAACAATGTATTATTCATATGCTGCCCATCTAACAGGGTTGCCTCAGTCACTCTGGGTGGCTTCCAACAAATTAAAACATCCAACAAAGTAAAACATCAAACATTAAAAACTTCCCTATACAGTGATTAATGTTATTAGCACAGATCCCTCCTGGCGTCGGCTTTTTTCCAGTCCCCCCCCCCATTTTCATCTGATTTAAGCAATGCAGAGTGGGCTTTAAAGGGGTGTCATTTTTATCAACAGCAATAGCAATCACACAGTAACTTGGAGAGGAGTATACTGAAGAGAACAAGATTCCTTTAAATTAAGTAAAAAATGAACCCCAAGCAATTCAAAGGGCAGCTGAAGGAAGAAATCTAAATAAGGGTTTGAAATACCTTTGGTCTTACTCCAAGGAAACCACTGCAGTTTGGAGCACCACATTTGCAAACTGTCTTCCCATTCCCCAAACACTCCAGGTTGTAGTTGAAAGTCAGCTCAGTCCCTGGTAATCAGAGAAATCAATGAGACCCATTTGGATTGTAATAGGCTTTGCTAAACCTGAAGTTCTAGAACTGGAATGAAAGATTAAAAACAAACAACCCCCCCCCCCCAAAAAAAAGATGTGCAAATGCTGGGGAGAATCTGCTGCTTCTACTTTCCCTTGTATGTGCTGAAATTCCAGTGCATGCTAGCAACAAAGGTCTATGACTTAGTATAATTGCATTACCTTACCTCCCAAGGGCCATGCAGGATGAAATTTCAACAAGCAGGATGAATTTTCCTACATTGTGAATATAGTACAAATACACAGATAGAAGAACATACCTTCCCTAAAGGTATGTCAGCAGAAACCAAATAGCCACCTGTCAGGGATGCTGTATTGTATCTTGCACTGAGCAGGGGCTTGGGAAATGACTTCAAAATACTACTCCCAACTCTTTGATTCTATGACAGCCGCTACCTATTAAAGCTTTCTGTTATATGTAATGTATGGTGAACACAGAGATATGTGTCACTTACTATGAAGAAGTATCTCAACTTCTTACATGCAAACACTCAGGGAGGAATCCAACATAGTGCTATGGCAATCATTCCAGCAGCTCAAGCTTTTCAGATTGTGAGACAAAATGACCCCCCCTCTGCTCCCCCCCACGCAGTTCTGGGGGTTTTCTTGACCCCCCACCACAAAGCCAATTTCAGTGAGAGGATGGGGAAAGAAGGGAAGTGCCACTGAATCAGCAGAAGTCCTTGAACAGACTTCCATTAGTGGGACTCATTAGTTAAACCTCCCCTCAGGCTGCAGACTTTCATCTCTTGATACATACGCCAAAATATCAGAAACAAGGCTACTAATCATTAGGGCTCCTTACCAGCTTTGATATTTATGAGCGCAAAAAGGCCAACCCGAGTATCTCCATTCACTGACCACTTCTGTGTCTCACAGTTTGGCTGGCAGCAATGGTTCATAAATCGAGCATAATTGCCTTTTGGTCCAGCATCAATTATTCGATCCTAAAAAGCACAGGGGGAAACTCAGCCTTTCAAAACACAGCCAGAACTTTATTCTTAGCTATAAGCAGTGCAATACAGATACAGTGGTACCTCGCAAGACGAATGCCTCGCAAGACAAAAAACTCGCTAGACGAAAGGGGTTTTTGTTTTTTGAGCTGCTTTGCAAGACGATTTTCCCTATGGGCTTGCTTCACAAGACGGAAACGTCTTGCAAGTTTGTTTCCTTTTTCTTAACACCGTTAATATAGTTGCGACTTGACTTCGAGGAGCAACTCATAGAATGTGGTGTGGTAGCCTTTTTTGAGGTTTTTAAAGACTTTGGTGATTTTTGAAGCTTTTCCAAAGCTTTTCCGACACCGTGCTTCACAAGACGAAAAAAATCGCAAGACAACAAAACTCGCGGAACGAATTAATTTCGTCTTGCGAGGCACCACTGTATGGAATGCTCTAAGAAACTTGAGGGTTGGGGGAGATGTCTTTCCAAGAAAGCACACACACAAATCAGGTGGTCTTGCAATCTAAAACCAATGCCAACAGAAGGCACAGTATCTTAATTTATTGTTTCAAACGTACATGAACTAGCAGTATTTTACTTCAGATATAGAAAACAGGAATGTTTTCACATACCTTGTCCAAAGTTAGCATATAAAAGTTGGTGATATCATGCTCTTGGGCATAGCGGATTCTGGCCTGGCATTCCTCCTCATCTATCAGCTCTCCCACATATTCGTTGACAAACTCACCCTGAAAGTGTGGAAGTGGGAAGAGATGAAGAGAACAACAAATAGTACTCTGAATACAAAGCCAAGACCAACCAAACTCAGGGGGTTTGGGGATGGGAAGAGATACGCATAGGAAACAAATGAACAAAACACACACCCATTAAAACAAAAGTTACTAATTCATAGCTTTTCATGGAAACCAAAATCTTTAGTGCTTTTTGGAAGGCGAGCCTAAGGAGGCACCATCTCTATTTTAGGCACAGAACTGCATTCCTTAATAAAACATACTAGAGCATCATAACTATCAGTTTTATTACAAACTGGTTTCTTTCGACCTAGACCACTGCTCTTTGTAGTCTGGTACGCCTGTCACACTATGCGAACCCATGGCCTCCAAAAAAGAAAACTGTTGAGTGCTTAGTGCCTCCCTAACCCTCCTACTGCTGTGCTGAGCTAAATCATAATTAACCACGAGAAGTAGCCAAGATTTAGGGCTCGTGGTTTGCCTAGGAGAGCTGAAATTCAGCAATTCAAGCATTTACAGTAGTTACTTTTTACAACAGTAAAAACTGAAAATGCAGACATCGCCTTGATAGAACTTTTGTTTAGTAATCCACTCAGTTTAAATATGGGGTTTAAGATCCCTTTACTTAGATGGGTATTAATTAAGGATGATTTTGGTGTAAGAAAATGTGGGGGTTAGAAACAGTCTAATGAGCAGTCCTTTCCATCTGTTTCTTAAAACACAGAAGCGTGATGAAAAACTGGGCACTCAAGAATTTGCGGTGTAGGATGAAAAGAAGAGAGGTAAGCAATACTACTCATCTGGGGAAATCCTGACATATATTGATTTCTGCTAAATCTAGTTCAGATTGTTTCAAGGTTCCATTAGCACAGAACCCAACTTATATATGGGAAGGCAAAGACTAACTATATTTTTAGGTAACCATGGGAAACAAACTCCTACCACATGTGTATGTATGTCTCAGACAGGAATAATGACTCATTTCTTGTCTTTGTAAATTTTACGCTTTAAGAAAGGAAAACTAAATTCAGTTATAGAAAGTGTGGGATGCTGAAACTAAACTTGGGGAAGAATTAAGACACCAAAAAACAAACATACCTTTTTAATGTCTCTTTTGGCTTGCAAGCCCCAGCCTCTTGCCAGTGTGCGGAATATTTCCACTTCAGGATACTGCCTTTTGGTAAAACACTGGTTTTGGCAACGTTCCCCAGCAGGGCAGACAGCAGGGTGACACTCATAGAGCAGCATGCGATTAATACACTCAGAGTCTAGGCCACAGGGGTTTTCATCACCCGGCTTGCAATTGCAACGTGGGATCTCAGACAAGTCTGCAGTGAAGATCTGCACTTTGCCTACAGGCCGGTTCACCTTTAAATACAGATATAAGCCACTAAGTAAATCGGCTGACCTAGCTAAATTGTGCATCATTGGAATGCAGAAATGTAGACTACATACATGGAAATCAGAAACAACTTTTGCTACAGTGATACTTGTTGAAATGGGTCAATACTGCACTTTCATGTATATTGTTAATCTTTATTATTGTTTCAGCTGCAACTCTTCTACCAGCATAGAAAATGCACCTTCCACTTTAATCAGCTATTATAATGGTGTTCAATAGTGTGAGGTGATCCTTTCTCAGGGTGGGACAGAAAGAACATACAAGTTCACACAGCAAGGAGACTCCCTCCCTTTCAACAGGATTTTATACACCAAAGATTTACTGCAGGTCAGCAAAGAGTTGAAGTTCATGTGGCCAATAGCTGACCTCATAGTTTACACTGGGATTAAAACATAGGTAAAACTCAATGTTGCACTACAGTGAACACCCCGTCAACACAAGCATTGCACCTTGCCAGACAGAATGATCCCCCCAGCACTTCTGGGGGTTCTCCCAATCCCCTTAGACCCAATTCAGTGGGTGTGGAGGGGGAGGAGAGGAGGGAAAAGTCCCCTTGTGCAAGTGGAAATCCTCACACAGGGCTTGCACTGATGTGACTTGTTAGGTGAATCTTGCCATGTGAATCTGTGGTACCACAAAAACAGCTTGTGTGCTTCCTTTAAAGTCTAAAGGAAATGTTTCACAGTGGACAGATTGTACAGGTTTTAGCTTTTGCAGTGTAGTGGCAGGTGGCAAGAGGAGTGTATAGTTAAGAGCACGTCCTGGTCAGCATTAACAATGGATAAGACTTGTGCCTTCATTATGTTTAAGGATGGAGCACACAGTCTCATAGCCCAACCACCTTCAAGGGATTGGGGGCAACACATGTGCACAAGGCCCGCCATCTGCTATCATGTCCTGCATCCTCACCTTGATATGTTTGTAAGGAGGGGGCTTCTTATCGTTCTTTTTGTCTTCCTGTAGCTGCCTCAGTTCCTTCTGTGTTTTTAGCTCTTCAAACCTCACAGCAGCTTCCTGCAGAGCTAAATTAAGAAAACTTCCTCATTATATATGAACAGACATTCAGCCACTTTTATATATGCACTTACATGAAAATATGCTGAAGTGAGGCACCAGTAACAGACGGGACAGGAAACAGCAGCCACAAAGAGGATTCTCTAGGATTCACAGTCTGTAGCAAAACTGAGAACAGTACTGAGATTTCCATACTCCCAGGCAGTAGCCAGAAAACTTCAGCATGCCTTTGTTTCAGGATTGCAAAAAGTAAAGACATTGTTTTGTGTAACTCAAGCTTCTTGAAATAATTTGTTTTATCCCTACATCTTAAAGCTAGATAGACACCAGTCCCCATCTACTCCTTGCTGAGTTCTTACATCAAGAAATTTCACTTCAGGAAAGATTAAAAACAACAACAACAACAGAGACTCAGTTCCGACCTCTCAACACACTTTAGCTGAATTTGTATGTCACAGTAAACCACAGTTAATAGTTCACCAGGAATATGGAAATCTCTCCCACTTTATTCCATCCAGTAGCAACAGGAACAACAAACTATAATCCCTGATTTAGTGTTATGTTTCAACCATGTACGCCAAGAGTTGTGGTTTGTTGCTCCTGCTCACAAGCAGAAGGGGGAAAATGGGGTAAAGATGCACTCATGGTAAAGAATTAAACACTGTTTACCATGACATGCAAATGCACCCACAGTTTGAGGTTCTGGATGGACAAAGTCTAGTTTAGAACTACTTGTCTGCTTAGTGCTTCTGTGTCTAGGCCCAGTGGCCTTTGGAGGCAAAGCAATAGTTATAACTATAGTTAGTTTGCTTACAGAAACTATGGTTTGAAAACCTTTTTCAAACCACAGCTTCCAATTCTGGTGTGCCGACCACTCACAAACCACTGCTCATCAATTCAGACATCATGACAAACCAAAGTTGCTCAATCTATAATTCTAGCCAGGGCTATTTCTGAAGCATAACGATGGCAGAATCTATTCTTTTTTTCCTAATGCAGCATCTTATTTCCCTGAGAACACAGAAAAAGATGGGATTCATTGCTAACTTCCATGGTTACATTAGAGTCAAAGAAAATGGGTTACCCTTCTTGTAAATGCCATCAACTCCCTTTGCCATCTTGTCCTTGCTGCTCACATCTCCTTCCATATAGGGAAATACTCGAGCTTGGTGGGTCCAAAGGTAATCATTTGATCCAAAAAAAAGCACAGGAAATTCACCGATGACATGCTTCATTTTCTGGATGTTGACAGGGATGGTCCTAGGGTGGCAAATCTCAGCTGGCCACCACCTGGAAATGAACAAAGGCAAGAAAAACAGATGAGCCCATGGATAAATTTCTGGAATGTCTGTTTCCTAGATCCACTCCTTTGTAGATGCATCATTTGTTTTGTGTGTGTGTGTGTGTGTGTGTGTGTGTGTGTGTGTGTTTGCTAACCTAACCATGGCATAACAGGAACCCACATTAGTAGAAGACTTTACGTATTCTATTAACATTGTGGAAACAACTGTAAGGGCAGCAGCAGCCATGCTGGTAAGAATACACATAAAGCTGAGGGGAGGTCCCCTCCTGACATTGTGAATACAGTGGTACCTTGGGTTACAGACACTTCAGGTTACAGATGCTTCAGGTTACAGATTCCGCTAACCCAGAAATAGTACCTCAGGTTCAGGATGGGAACAGAAATTGCGCGGCGGCAGTGGGAGGCCCCATTAGCTAAAGTGGTACCTCAGGTTAAGAACAGACCTCCAGAACGAATTAAGTTCTTAACCCGAGGTACCACTGTACAGTATTAATAACATTAGCAAAGCAAAAATGAGCAGTAGCAACAAGCTTTCACAAGAGACAACTGAAATCTTTTAAATATAACAGAATTTGCCTTCATTCACTCTCACCTGTAACGTCCCACTTTAACCCAGACCACCTCCTTGTAGTGTGGCTTCTTGCCAGCTTTGCAGTCGTTACAGTACCAGCTCCCCTCTGGCATGTCAATGTTCAGACACTCCCTGTGGAATGCGGCAGGGCAGGATTCACAGCACAGAAGGCTTCCACCTGTGAGAAAGAAAGGCAGGTATGTCAGGGACAGAACCCATGCACAGCATCACATTAAAAGGGGAGTTCATCCTATCCAGACCTCAAATCCCACTTCAGTTCTTTAAATGGAAAATGGGTCAAAAGAGGGTCGTGCTGGTCTCCAGAATAAGGTTAACTTCACCCCCAGGTATCAATTTTATTGTAAAGGTCTCAACTGTGTCAAAGCCAATACAATATGCCAGTGCTAAACCCAATCGTATCTATTTGCCACAACATTTACTTTTTTCCACTACTTCGTCTGAGGTGTTATATATGACAAGGAGGCAGCTAGGCCAGTCTTCGCTCACAGAAAGGGGGATGGTGAAAAGGGGGAAGTCAATCATGTATACTGCCCTAAGCTCTATGGAAGAAGGGCTTAAGCCCCATATTCAATGTCTCATTTGCTGTCCCTGCTATGTCAGCAAGCTTAGCAAACATATATTACATTTTGTTTTAGTGGCTTTAACACTGTGGCCCATCCCACTAACATGACCATTGCCTTTAGAGGGCCTTTAGATACAGTGGTACCTCCGGTTACAGACACTTCAGGTTGCAGACTCCGCTAACCCAGAAATAGTACCTCGGGTTAAGAACTTTGCTTCGGGATGAGAACAGAAATCACGTGGTGGTGGTGCGGCAGCAATGGGAGGCCCCATTAGCTAAAGTGGTACCTCAGGTTAAGAACAGTTTCAGGTTAAGAACGGACCTCCAGAACGAATTAAGTTCTTAACCCGAGGTACCACTGTACTGCATTCTATGGAAGGCCCAGTGCGTTATTTTGGCTGCTTCCCTCTCCCTTAGGCCCAAAGTAGGGACCCCCAGAGATGATCCTAACTGTATACCTCAGTCCGGCAATATGTTTCACTTAGACAAAGGACAACATCGTGGCCATTTGTATCACGTTGTGGTAAAGAGCTGATAGATTAGGCTGTCCCCTCACTTCCTCAACAACATCCTCCTATGCTTGTACTCATTCAAAACATGGCAACACTCATAACGCACCAGGCCCAGCACAAGGCGCCTTACCTTCTGAGCAAACAAAGCACCAGCTGACATTTACATGCTCATGGTTTCTGCAGCCCCTTCGAGGGCTAAAATGATTTGGGCAAATCATGCTGTTGGAAGCAAGGATCACAGTCCCAGCTGCGAGGCAGAAATCATTCGAGTGGTATGCAACAGGGCATCGGACACAGCGCATCAAGCGACCTAGCAGAGAAATATATTGGAATTACATTTTCTTAATAATAATAAAATCTGGAAAAAAATCATTTTTTAAGATTCAAGTTTTAGACACCAACCCCACCTTTAAAATATCCAAGAACAGGGGGGAACACCAATGAAATGTAAACACAGTTAAAATGAATGTAGAAATGCACTTCCATTCTGGGCACAAGAAAAGGTTACTGTACCTTTAGATGCGGAGACATTTGCTGGGTTGGCTGCATGGCAAGTCATGCAGATGTGCAGTGAGCAGCGAAAGCCCTTGTTCTGCATGACTGTGGGAGGGTACTTCTGTATGCACTCTTCATGATAGTACTTCCCACATAAGGGAAGCAAGCACCGCTTGACGTTTTCTCCACTGTTCTTGCATACAAAACACGTGTGGACCCCTAATAGGAGAGGGCAGCAAAGTAGAAGAAACACAATCAAAGAACAGAAGGTGCAAGAGTCCTGAACAGCAGCAGAGGGGGGGAGGAGGGGAGTTACAAGCAGTCACCATGGCTGGAGGCAACAACATACAAAACCAGGATTGCTCGAGCCTGGTAGACAGCAGAGCCATTCTGCTCCATGCTGCAAAGCCATTTGTTTTCAACAAGCTCCAACATTTGAAAGCAACCCGAGAGCTCGCCACACCTTCAGTGAGTACAGTTTCGTACCTGTGGAACACTCAGTGCAGATAAACTTGCCCTTCGGCATTTCTGAGAGCCCGAGGCACTGCAGGTGGAAAGCTCCACAGCACTGGGCTTCACAGAGCAACAATTCACCTGGCTTTTCACAGATCTGCAAAGGAATTAAACAATGCGTGGTCAAGGGCTGAAATTAAAGAGGTGGGAGTAGGGAATCCTAGTTTATGCGTACCCACTAAACCACAGCTAACACATTTTCAGAAGTACTTTTCAGCAACAGCTGCTGTGGTCCAATTGTTTGGCTCAAACATTAGAACTTTGAGTGATTTACACTACTTCAGAAGCTCCTTACAAGGCACACTTTAAGCACACTTTTGCAATCCTGACTACACTTCCTGTCTACCCAAAATGGTTCTGGGACTGCACACAAAATAAGGGTTGCAGACAGAAAGCCCTCATGTCAAAATTTAAAAAAAACAACAACCTCAAGAGTTTAAGAAAGCATTGGATGCAAGCTCTGCAAAGATCTGGTTCCTACTAACATGGCCTGTCCCCAAGTAGTCTGGCTGCTTCAAGTCATTTTCACAATTACCAGCATTCAAGCAAAGCACTTCAGACTTTTACCTGACACACGTTCTCCTTGAGAGCAGCTCCTCCTCCTCGCTCCCCCTGCATCCGTTTGGATGAAGGCACTCCATGGTCATTTTCAGACCCTTCCTCAATAGTCTCCTTGGGGCTTCCAGCTGTTCCATGATTAGTCCTATCTCCCTTTAAAAAAAAGGAAAGACTGTGATCAGTCAGATTCTCCCTTTCATTTACCCCCTCCTCTGGGCTGCTCTTATAGTTTGGGTACATCACATGGGGGTGTTCTGCCAACCTGCTTGCTGAGCTGCATGCAACGCCTCTAGCCCTAATCACTCTGCCTGCAGAAGGTGCCTCATGCTGTGGCGCTAACTCTCCTCACACTTCTCCACTTTTAAGGTTTCACTGAGGGAAAGAAACATTCTGAACTTTAACAAAACACATGACTATGACTATTTTGCTGCCCTGTGGCAGTATACTTCCTAAACACCTTTGTTGGGAATCTCCACAACCTTTATTTATTTATTCATTACATTTATATCCTGCCTTTCCTCCAAGTTGCTCAAGAGCAATACATGGTTTCCCCCATCTCCATTTAATCCTCACAACAACCCTGAGAGGTTGGGTAGATTTGAGAGACAGCAACTTGTCCAAAGTCACCCAGTGAGCTTCATGGGTGGGGACTAGGACCCCCGTCTCCCAGGTCTTGCTCCAACACGCTAACCACTACACCACACTGTCTCCAGGGCGCAACCTCAGTATCTGACACACAATGCTATTGATTTATTAGATTTCATACCCCCCTTCACAAGATCCCATGACAGGTTGCAAGCATAAAATCATACAATATCAAAATCAAATAAAGCAACTCAAAACAAACCAAAGAATAATAGGAATGGTCTCACAAATATCACACAAATGTTCAGCTGTCAAAGGGCAGGGTACAGAAGTGTGTCTTCAGCAAACAGTGTAGACTATATAATGAGATGCAAATGGACAATTGCAAATGACTGTGTTAAGAGAAGCATGGTTCTGCTCATATGAACACATTGGTCACTGTGAGAAAAGGATGGGTTATAAATGTAACCACTAAATAAATATATAAAACCTTGATGTACAGAAACCCTCCTGTCAGTGCTAAACCAAGAAAAAGTTGTGGGCGTATACTTTCAAACAACTGGTGGATGTTCAAGAAGACTGTAGTATACTGGTTTCAGAGAAAAAGAGCATATATTTCTATTCCATGAAAGTGTCACAGAGCAGAAAAGCAATTTCATACTAGGTCTTACTGTGTGGAAAGAACACAGTATGTGAAATACAAAACGTGTAGCTTTCATTTCCACATCCTGTATGTGCATGGAAATATAGTATTGTAAAATTGGAAGCCTATGACAGAAACATGCTTTAGAATATACTGTTTCAAATGTTAAAGCCGATTGTCCAGTGAATTTCAGTATACTGTAATCTAAATCTGACTCCCAACCATGTAAGTATCACAACAATATCCCTAAAACCTGGTTTTATGTGCTTCTGAACTTTGCCTTTTTATGTTTTTACTTTTGATTTTATATACACCACTTTCTGAATAGGGGAGGGTTTTTTTGAAGGTTTCAGGGCAGTTGGTGTGACATTCAGCTTGTAGCTGTGGCGAGTTTTTCCAGGCCTTATACACATTGTGAGAACAAGTTCCTGGAATTGTTGCTTGTATGTATAATTCAAAATGAATACATTTTTCTTGGTTTAGCGGCACAGAAATGTATGTGTGTATGAATACTTAGGTTAACGCAAATCTTTTAAACATGAGCTACTAGTTTATACACAATACTCTTCTGCAGTCCGGCCTTTGTTTGCTGCTAAGTCTTTTATACCTTCTTTTGCAACACAGTCAATAGTTTTATGCATTTTTAAAAATATAATGCTACTTCAAAAAGACGTCATACATGTATCCTTTTACAGAATCCAAAGCCCAGAAGTACCTCAGAGTTTGCATTTTCTCCCAGTACATCTTCACCCTTTTCTTTCTTGTATGGCGCTGAAGCAAAAGTACGTCGTTGCCGCTTTCGCCTTCTCTGTTTGCCTGGAACCTTTTCAGGAGCTGCAGCAAGGAAGATGTTTCAAGACTGTAAGCAAATAACTGCACCTAAGGTAATTCTGACAACTATGGCCCTCAAATTTTAAACCCCAAAATTCAGCACTGATGAGTAGGACACACCATACCCATTCTTAACCCGTAATTCAATTCCAAATGTCTGCAAACCTCTGAGGACTACACAGTTTAGAATGAAAATTCATATTGTGTTGTTGAGTATATTTTCACAAAAATAAGACAAAGTCACCCTTGTTCCATATTACCCAAATGCCACAAGTTGGAAGAAAGTACCAGCGAGTTGATAAACAGGGTGGTTCCAGGTATCCCTTTGAACACCATACAGCAGAGTTACTGGCGTCTAAGAAGCCACCTTGGTTAACAGCTAGTTTCTCATCCTCATGATCATGGAGAAAAATGTGGTTGGTGAGCACTGAAAATTCAGAAAGGCAAGCCGAAGGACACCTTTGAGTCTCACGTTGTTTCTTATCACTCCGCTGTTGTCTGAACAGATTTCTGGCCAGATCCACCCCACACACCTTTTTCATCTTTGGAGTGCTCCTGAGTCCATCACTACACTCACTGCTACCACAAATTCCAGTATGTTTTCCTTTTTAAATTGACTCTGACTAATAAAGCCCTAAATGGCCTCGGTCCTGTATACCTGAAGGAGTGTCTTCACCCCCATCGTCCAGCCCGGACACTGAAGTCCAGCGCCAATAGCCTTCTGGCGGTTCCCTCACTGCAAGAAGTGAGATTACAGGGAAGCAGGCTGAGGGCCTTCTTGGTAGTGGCGCCTGCCCTGTGGAATGCCCTCCCAGCAGATGTCAAGACAATAAGCAACTATTTTACTTTTAAAAGACAACTGTTTAGGGAAGTTTTTAATGTTTGATGCTGTATTGTTTTTAATATTTGGTTGGAAGCCGCCCAGAGTGGCTGGGGAATCCCAGCCAGATGGGCAGGGTATAAATAATAATATATTATTATTATTATTATTATTAGTCATCAAAGATGCAATTCCTTCTTTTTGATCTGGACCCAGTTCATTTATGACTTGGTCTCTATGTGGAAATATCTGCTTACACTGCAGTGGGCTGATGATTATCAGTGTTTCCCAACCGGTGTTCCGCGGCAGACGTTGCCTGGTGTGCCGCGAGATGTTGCCTGGAGGGAGGCGGGCGAGTTGGGCGGCGAGAGGCGGGGCGGCGAGGAGAGGCCGCCCAGCGCGGGGCTCTCGCCGTCTGCCTGCCTGGCTGCCTGCATGGCGCTGACGTCACAGGGCTGTAACGTGCCCCACATAGGCACACGCGGGGCGGCGAGCGAGCTCCCTCCCACATCCCATCGCCGCTCACTTCGGCCGGCCTACTGGGCTGTCGCAGGCGGAAGGCCTGCGCATGCGCGAGGTTTTCGCGCCTTCGGGATTCCCTTCACGCCTTCCTCCTCCCGGGTCCTTGAGAGCGCGGGAAGCGGCAGCGCGAGACCGGCGTTGAGCCTGGTAGGTATTGCGCTTGCCAAGGCAGTCATTTGGGAAATGAAAACTTGCAAAGCAAGCAACCAGTTCAATCTGAAGTACGTGTATGCTTAATATCCTGTATCTGAAACCTGTTCTGCCCCCTCCCCCACACTTGGTGCCATTTTCATCTACACATGCAGCAGAGTAAGTTGACCCAGAATAGTACCAATTCAGATGGCAGATGGGAGAATGACAGTGCTGAATGCTTTCCCATGTAGAACAGTTCCTGCAAATAAAAACCTAGCATATTTGGAAGAGGGATGCTAGCCTAACCATTACCTTCTATGCTGTTACTATTTTTTTATTTTTTTTTACATAAGTAAAAAGTGACCTTTCCCCATCTGGCATGGTGGTGTGCCTCGAGATTTTTTTCATGAAACAAGTGTGCCTTTGCCCAAAAAAGGTTGGGAAACACTGGATTATGTAACGTGATGGAAGAACCTTGCTTAGCTTATTATTAATGTTCACTCACAGGAAACTGCCAGCTTCATGCTACAGAACAGGAATACCACCTACCTTCACCAGTGTCCAGAAGCTGAGATGTGGAGTACAACTCAGACATTTCAGTATCCAAAGGACCAGCCTCAGAACACTGCGAACAAGCAACAGGGACAATTTACCAAGCAAATTCGCACACCTACAACGAGATGTGTTTCCCTGGCCACATCTCAATGGCAATTCTACCTTCAACATATTGACAAACAACAACAAGAAGAAGCATCTCAAATTTCCATAATCAGAAGGATGGGGAGGCGATTGCCCAGTGTCTGAACCCCTGGGTAGCAAGAAGTAGGAAGAATCATATTTACTTAGTTATAATTGTTGAATAATCTTTCTGCACAGCTGAAGCAGAAGAAAAATCGTAACTTTCACAAAAACAGTAAGAGACTAACAAATCTAAAGGGGCCTCCACTAAATGCAGCATATTATACTAATTTCACAGTTCAAAATATTTAGACCCTTCTTTTGAATTTTTACAATTCACAAGGCAGCTTACAGCAGTATAATCATATATTTAATGAATTATCATGAAGGCAGCAGCAAAAGAAAATAAATTGAAACCACAGGCATATGGCATTACTATTACTATAATTAATTATAGTAATGGTAATGCCAAATGGTTGTGGCTTCACTTTATTATTTATTTATTTATTTAGATTTATTTATTTTATTTTGTCTACTACCCTTCATCCGTAGATCTCAGGGCAGTTCACAAAAATAGATTTAACTAAATGGTTTGGAACCGGAATATACCAAGGACCACCTATTTTAGTATCAGCCTTTTCAGGAGTTTTTCTCAACACCTGAGGCCCCACAGATTGCTGAGTACATCATTCTTTGCTTCTTGCATGCAGACAAGCATTGGAGGATTTTAAAACAAAGGTTGAATGGCAATCTGTCAGGGATTCTTTAGCCAAGATTCCTGTGTTGCAAGCATTTGGACTAGGCAACTGTTGGAGTTTCTTCCAAATCAACACTTCTGTGATTTTTTGCAGTCAAAATTTGGCTTTTTCCTTTAACAAACGGGTTTTGCTCTTAATGTCTGCTCTGCTGCAAAATTCTTTTGTGTGTGTGTGGCTGGTTTTATTGTTTAATAGTTACTGTTTACGACTAAACGACTAAACAACAACAACAAAGTTACTGTTTAACTTTTATCAACAGATGGATTAACTTTTGTTATTGTGAGCTGCCCTGACAGAAAGATAGGACATAAATGCTTCAATACATAAACAAATGATTATTGCATTTTCATATTGGATGTGGTTGTTTTAACAGTTTTACAAAAAGAAAAGCAAGTTGAATTCAATTTTCATAAAATGTAGAATAAACATTCTATTGTTGTCCATATCACAACAGGTTTTACAGAACAAACTGAAATTAAGTCTTGAATTAAGTCCTGAATTACAAACGCCCGGTTTGCAAACATTCTTTTGGAATGCGAACATCCAAAGGGGCTTCTGCGGCTTCTGATTGGCTGCAGGACCTTCCTAAAAGGTACCCCTGCCCATACGGGCCAGTCTTGACAGACTCTAGGGTTGTGCGCCCATCTCACTCAAGAGGCCAGGGGCCAGCGCTGTCCGGAGACACTTCCGGGTCACGTGGCCAGCGTGACATCGCTGCTCTGGCGAGCCAGAGCCACACACGGAAACGCCGTTTACCTTCCCGCTAGTAAGCGGTCCCTATTTATCTACTTGCACCCGGAGGTGCTTTCGAACTGCTAGGTTGGCAGGCGCTGGGACCGAGCAACGGGAGCGCACCCCGCCGCGGGGATTCGAACCGCTGACCTTTCGATCGGCAAGCCCTAGGCGCTGAGGCTTTTACCCACAGCGCCACCCGCGTCCCTGCAGGACCTTCCTACAGCCAATCAAAAACTGTGGTTTGCTTTTCGAATATTTTGGAAGTCGAACGGACTTCCGAAACGGATTCCAGTCGACTTCCAAGGTACGACTGTAAATTTAAAAATCTTCTAAGGACTCTGTTTGGATACATTTTAGCAAAGGGGTTCAAAACCATAATATCCCATAGAAAAGGCCTGATCTCTAGCACAGGAAGAGTCTTTGGAGAGGAGTCCTGGTTTGGAGTTCCATCAGGTGCTTACGTTACTTTAAAACACATGTGTGCTCACAGAGAGAGATATTTTGTACATCAGAGACTTTCTTCTCTTCACAGCCAGCCAATCCACTATCAATTTGTTGAAAGAGTGCACTCTCTAGTGAAAAGAACTCCTACAGACTCCCAACTGAAAATAATGAGATATGTGCATATGTCTGACAGCATGACTCTGGTCATTGTAAAAGAGCCATAATGGGCCTAATGTTCTCTCAGTTTGGACAATGACAGCTTTTTGAAAAGAAAGTGCAACAAGAACTTTATAGGCTAAGCTCTGATTATCACTACTATTTTTTACTGAGTGCTTCTATTAGGTACCCTTAACCAAATGAAGGCCGATCAAAAACTCTGCAGATGAAATAATTTTACATTCAGGAGCATAGCAGATCTTTGGTAACATTTGAAGCAGAAGGAAGGAACTTACCTTCTTTATGGAAGTCCACTCTCTCTTTGGTATGAATGCAGTATCCAAATCATTGGATTCCAACAGCTTTTTTGTTGGTTTCCTCTGGCGCTTACTCTCAAAACTCCCTACAATAAAAATGAATTTTCCTCACTAGAAACAAACTAGTTTTATCAGCACCAAGTAAGAATCAGTATAATAACACCAGTACTGTTTGTTGTAACTCATCTGCCCCAAACCAAGAAATAACAAAACTGGGAGGGGTCGCTAATGCCACAGAAGACAGAATCAGAATTCAAAATTACCTTAACAGATCAGAGAACTGTTCACAAGCTAACAAAATGATTTTCAGTAGGGACAAATGTAAGGTTCTGCAAGAAGAAACAGATGCACAAATATAGGATGGAGGACACCTGGCTTACTAGCAGTACATGTGGAAAGAATATAGGGGTCTTGGTGGATCACAAGCTTTACATGAGTCAACAGTGTGATGCAGCAGCAAAAATACCCTAATGCTATTATAGGCTGCATCAACAGAAGTATAGTGTCCGGGTCAAGGGAAGTAATAGTACCACTCTATTCTGTCTTGGTCAGACCACACCTGGAATACTGTGTCCAATTCTGGGCACCACAATTTAAGAAGGATGTAAAACCCAGCAAGCCCCAACTATAGCTAACTCGTTTTACCGTATTTTTCGCCCCCTAGGGCGCACCGGCCCACAGGACGCACGTAGTTTTTTTGGGGGGAAATAAAGGGGGGGATTTATTTCCCTCCCAAGGGAGGCCCGAGCTTCCCCCGACCCCAGCCCCCAGAACAGGGTGCTATCCGCAAGCCTAGGAAGCCTGGCGGGAAGTCGCCCCGGTCTCCCCAGGCTTGCGGATATCTGTCCCCCGAGCTTGTGGGGCTGGCAGCCTCCAAACCAGGTCGGGGAACAGCGGGATGGCGGCACTGCACCTCCCCGCTGTCCCCCGAGCTTGTGGGGCTGCCCGATATCTGCAAGCTTCTCCCCAGCGCCAGCCTCCAAACCAGGTCGGGGAATAGCGGGATGGCGGCGCTCCGCCTCCCCACTGTCCTCCGAGCTTGTGGGGCTGCCCGATATCTGCCCGAAGCCTGGGGTGCGCTCCGGAGCGTGCCCCGTGCTTTGGGCTGCAGGCTGCTGCCCGCAAGCCTTGTGAGCCCGGCGGGAACTCCTGCCGGGCTCGCAAGGCTTGCGGATAGCTTCCTGAAACCTGGAGAGCGAGAGCCCTCTTGCTCTCCAGGCTTCAGCGAAAGCCTGCATTCGCCCCATAGGACGCACACACATTTCCCCTTCATTTTTGGAGGGGGAAAAGTACGTCCTATAGGGTGAAAAATACGGTAATTTTCTGAGGTTGAAAATTCTTGTGGCTTAAAATTTTAAGTTTTGAGCTTTAAAATTTTGCGGTTTTGTCTTGGCTTTGTATATTTTTAGTGTAATAAGCCACTTTGAGATCTAAGACATCAGGAGCTTGGAAGCCTAAAGACCTGTAGTTTATTTATTTAATAATAATAACAATCCTCCTTTTTGCTATTTAGATCTCACGGGGAACAAAAACTTCAGTATCATTTATTATCCCCCACCCCCATCCTTGTGGGAGACAGCGCCAAAAGCTTCAGGTCCAGACCAAAGAGCAATGGCATATTGTGTGTGGTTCTCAAAGTGTGTGGCAGGAGAGGATAGCAAGTATGGTGGCAAGATTCAAGGACAACCAAAGAAACGTTTAAACATTTCAGTATAGTATAGTATAGTATAGTATAGTACAGTATAGTATAAAGTTAATTGGGACTAGAATCAGGAAATAGGAATCAAGGGCCAAGGAACAAGACACCTGTTTTGTTTCCAGTAACTAGAGCTTATTTCTGGTGAAGATGCTAATGATACATGTCTTACCTGACTTCATTAACTGTCTCTCTCCCTGCAAAGGAGAAGCAGCAGCAGCAACTTCCAAAACATTTGGTGATGACAATGTCAAAACTGGCATTTCTGATCTTGGTTCCATGGCATGGGAGTCGGGCTCATCTGACAAAGACCGCTCAGCTTCAAGAACAGGAGGAGACTCTTTAGACGAAGAAGCAGACGAAACTGAATCCAGAGGCTTCTTTTCTAGATGTTTGTTACGAGCTTGCCTGCCAGTGCTGCAATCCTGTTTGATTTCAGACTTCTCTAGAGAACTTGCCTATTAGCAGCCAGACATAAACAGAAAATACTCAAGATCCTGGTCCAACCAATACGTGAAGAAAAGGCTAATGGGGAGCATACAGATACTTGGAAATATGGCTACATTTCTGCAGCAGGTGAAAAACAAGGGAAAGAAAACTGGTCATCTTTGGCTGTGCTAGAAATCATTTTACGCAAGCACACACAACATACAAAATACACAGTGTAAGTGATGGCGCTGCTGCTGAAAATGGCTTGCCTTTGTCTAGCTTCCCTCCCCTCAAGTAACACCAGTCCATGCCATCAGATGCAGTGTTTGCCCAACAGACCGTCATTGGGTACAGTTTGACAAGGTTGGGAAAATGAATAGTCTGATGACTTCATGCCACTGAGTGAGAATCACTATATATCACTGGAGAGTGAGGGACAACTAGCCTATGGAGATGCTGTTTTCATTGGCAGCTGTATAACCCATGTGCATTGATGAAATACAATGTTTCTAATGTTGAAAATACGCTATAGTTATTTATGTATTGAGCCTTCATTTAAAAAAGAAACCTATTCAAGGTATAGCCCTTCTCACAACTGAAGTAAGAAACATTGATGATAAATGCAAAACCTGCTTATTTCAGTGATGACCAGGAAAATATATATATATGCTTTGTAATTCAAAGTACTACAGGAATCTGTAGCATAATGATTAAGGATGATGTGGAACCAAGGTCCACTACAACACTTGCAACAACATCCTGGCTGATGTGTGTGCTTCAAAGCCAACCCATCTGGAGCAAAAAAGAAAGTCAAAGAAAAGCAAGAGCCAAAGCCATAGTCCAAGGCCCAGCCAGGCACTTCTGTTTTTCCTTCAATCACTTTGCTCATTTCCAAGACAACATGAAGGTATATAAAAGTGGGGTGGAATTGTTGAGATGTCTGTACTTTTTGTTTCAAAAAACTTGGCTCATAATGGCTAGGATCCTTCGGAAGGAATGTAGGAAGATGCTCTCTGTATGGAACTGGACAATAGGTTCATCTAGCGCAATTTGGTCTACACTGACTGGCAGTGGCTCTCCAGGGTTTCAGATAGGGGACATTCTCAGATGCCAGGGACTGAAAATGGGACCTTCTGCATGGAAAGCAAGAGTCTCTAACACTAAGCTTCTGCCCTGTCTTGGAGTCACCTGCAGCATTCCAAAAAAGCACCAGAGTTCTTTGGGGTTCCTTTGTTTAATCGCCCACCTGCCCTCTGATAAGCTACTCCTAAAGTTTGAGGCAATTTCTCAGGTGGCATTTGCATGTGATGCAAGTGGAATTCAGAAGCCAGAAGTGGAATTCCACTATCCTGCCCCAAAGCATACACACATGTTGGATCCCAGTTCTAGTTTTAAAAACCTTATTTTTAAAAAAAAGAAAACTACCAAGATGACAGTTTCCCAATTTCTGGCAGGTGCCTATACCTGTTTCTTTGTTTCATACCCACCTTCCGAAATGGCTCCTGGCTCCTCTTCTTTTTCTTAGGTGCAAATATGTGATCATATTCTTCTGCATATTCCAAAAGCCGCTTACTTGGCTTCCTAAGGCGTTTCTTCTCTGAATGAGCTACTGAGAAGATAAAAAAAGGAGAAAGAGCCTCAGGATTAGTCTTCTGAGAAGATCAGAAGGGCTGGGATAGAACCCTTCATTATGGCCAGGGTCTGCTGAAGCTCCTGTGCCATTTTCCAGTGCCCTCAACAAAGTGATGATCACATGAATCTGAGGTGCATAGCTCAGATGCTTGAGACTCCTTGACTATGTCATTTAAGTTTTTAAGCAATCCTCTTCTGCCATAATAGTTCAAAAGCAGCCCTTTCCTTCAGGTTTTCATAAAAAAGCTTCTTCCCTGACCATCGTGCCACCTCTCATTATTCAGTAGGAATCCACACAGTGATCCTAATCCATGCAAACCCCACAACCGTCACCCCACAAAGGGAAAGGACCCGGTTCCTGCCCAATTATGGAAAGCAAGTGAGCTGCAACGACTGCCATCAACATCTTGTCCCCAGTGTCAGCAGGCTATTCTTGCCCGGGTCTCAGTGCAGTAAATTGTGCCCAGTCTGGCCTAGCAGTGCCATGTGCAAGTCAAGCAGGGAAAACTGCATTACCCCTTTTGAGATGTGAGAAGCTAGGAATGAAATATTGTGGTTGAAGCAGGAATTAAGTCATATCTGTAAAACTGTAGTATGACTTTCTTCTAGGATACTCTCCTAAACCTCTGAGTTTTGTCTTTTTTATATTAAAAAAAATCAATATTTTTTTAACCTGCTCTCAAACTGGATTGTACAAATGAGTCCATTATAAGTCTTAGGAACTCTTTTTCTCTCTCCTCTTTTAAAAGTTTTTGCTTGTTGTTAAAAAAAAAAAAACCATGAGGAAATCCTATGTTGAAAAACAATAAACATCAATATTGCAAACAAGCAAAACAGGTGGCTCCTCCTAACACAGTATGAAAGCAGTTCTGAAATAAAGCTGGTCCTGAAACAAGAGTGGCTACATATCCAGAGAAAAAACTCAGAAGTCCCCTATCCTGTTCAGCAAATGTGAATTACAGTATTTACAACGTACATTTCTATTATTATTATTAATATTACTACTACTACTATTACTATTACTATTTCTACAACATGTTGAATCCAGTGTGTCCTTTCCATTAATAGATAAGCTTTTCCATTTGTGGAGGGACTACTGAGATCCTGCAAAGTCTCACTGGAAGAAGTTGGGTAGATGCTATTTCCTGATTTCCCCTTCCCCTTGCAGTCCCCATACTGTCCTGGAGGTTCAGCTTTTCAGGAGGTTGAGGAAGGAAGGTGGAACTGGAAAAAATGGGCTCCTCCTCTAGCAGTAGCATTCCATGAATGGAGTTCTGCTCATGAGAATGCTGGATCCAAATCAGTATGTGGAACACAGTATTATACTCTATGTCTTTGAAGACACTCAAACTCAGGATGCAAGGGAGAAACATGCTAAGAGGAAGGCATGCTTGGCAAATCCACACTGTGATCAACTCCTACCCGGAAACCAATGTCCTCACTATGGAATGACATGTGGATCCAGAATTGGCCTCCACAGTCACTTATGGACTCATTGTTAAAACTGTGTTTATCGAAGACAATCTTACTTGGCTATGAGTGATCTCCAAAGAAGACTCTATGTCTAATCTGATATATCATCTTCACAGTGAAGCACTGCAGCTAGTGCTTATAAGTGGAACTCAGAAAAGCAGAGTTCCCTGCTTAGCCATAGACACTGGGTAGGATTAAAGCAGCACTGGGGAAAAATAGGAATCCTGCAGGCACAGACAAATTTATAAGACTGAATCTCAACCCAGCTATAGTTTAAGAAGGGGTAATAAAAGAGCTAACTTTAGCTCCAATTTCCATAAGGGTAACTAATTTTTATAGAGGCGAATTGTAAAGTGCCTGAAATATTTGCAGATTGAGGCTTATGCATTCATTCTAATAAATTTGTCTGCTACACCTGTTGACTTTCCACTTTTTCCTTTTTTAACTGAATAGCATTGTGCAAAGTTCTCATTTTAAGCTTTGATTACTCTGTTGTAAACGAAGAGTAAACATCTCTGAGCTGGGCAACTGGTAGTCCATAAGCAACAGAGTGGTGTCTGGTTCTCTCGATTCCTTATAATAGCAGTACTCTCCCTTCTGTAGAAGGAAAGATGTAAGGGCTAAAATGCCTCTGCTGCTTCTTCCAAACTGCCTTCTGTCTTTACCCTAAACATGCATGAGAGTCATCAGGCTGAAAGTAGAGGAAAGGAGGACCTGCAGAGGCACCTCCCGAACCCTGATGAAGTCATTGAGCAGCTATGGACATTTCCTCTAGCATCAACCACCTCTGGCCACAACAAGAACAGAGCGCATCAATCTCTTGGGTGAAGGAAGCTGGCTATCCCTTATCTATCTCAGTAAGGTTCACAGCGTAACACAAATAGTACCCATCCTCATTCTGGCTGTAGCTATTGAGTAAAAATTATTTTGATACCAATGTGAGAGACTGTAACTTGGATTACTGAATTTTACTGTACAATCTCATGGTTTTTGTGGTGGAGTGCCACACAGTGCATCATCGTGAATCAAAGCATTTCCTAACACTGGAGTTACTGTGGTTGCTTACAATAATACGTAAAGATGATTAAGAAAAAAAGGAGGAGGTGCATAGGGAAAAACAGAAGAAATGTCAGTAAGAAAGTCTGGATTATTGCAATGTGCTCTATTGGGGGGGGGGTTCCCTTGCACTTGATCTGGAAGCTGCAGTTAGTGCAGAATGAGGAAAATACAATTACTGACAGAAGTGAGACTCCGTCAACATATAACACCTGTTCTCAGAGGCCTGCAGGTTTGCTACTAGGCCATGTTCAATGTGCTGCTAACCCTTAACAACTCAGAACCACAGTTTACTTGTGAAACCGCTTTCCTCCATATGTGCCCACTCAGCTGCTTCAATCTGTGGAACGGACACCGCTACAAGGGCAAAACAATACTCATTCTGCATTTCTAAGATTATTTTTTAGTGCAGCAGCACCCACAATTTGGAACTCCCTGCCTACTGACATACATTCGCTGTACTCCTTTAGGCATCTGCTAAAAAACATGTTTGTTTGGACATGCTTACTCAGATACGTAGAATGTTTACAGGTGTTGTAATCTGTTTTTAACTTTTTAAATAAGCTAAACACAGACTATTTCCCCCCTCTTTATTCTTTTTATAAACTGCTTTGAGTTTTTAAAAAGTGCATGCAGAAATGCATGTTTCATGGGGGAAATGTTTACAAAAATGCATATTGTGAGGGGGGGTACATTGTAAATCTTATAGAAAAGCGTTTTATAGGAAAGATGCATAGAAAATGCATATCACAGGGAAGTGCATATTATTAAAATGCAATCAATTCCCCCTCCTAAAAACAGAACAGAACGGACCTGTGAGTGAGTCCACGGAAACTGAAACAGAATGATCTTGCCTATTTGTACTCTAGTGCTGCCACTGCCCAACCCCTGGAAATCTTTGGGAATAGCTGCCTCTGGAAGGGGGAAGCTGAAATGCTCTGAACAGGTGTATGGAGAAGCTAAACTGAATGCGGCATGTTTGGCCCTTGGCCAGAATAAAAATCATTATAGTTGTGTATTTGCCAAATTAACCTTTTGTCTTCTGCAGAAGGCAAGATCTGGATACTTTCCCCTTAAAAGTTAGTTAAGAATACTTTATTGCTCATCTTGCAACATTCCCTGCGTTATACTGCAATCCACAAACATTACTGAAATCCTTTATCAAATACACCTATTCTTCACAGCATGTTGCAAAATCTGTTTTCAAAATATGGTGGGGCCATTACCATTCAAGAGTATGTGTCTCAGATCTAGCAGAAAGTTAAATGGGAGTGCAGTTAATTTATGCTATGTAAGTGTACACAGAGATAAGTCATGAACTAGGACTGCCATCCTTGGCTCACACATTTTGCTTTATCTTGTATTTCACATAGCATGCAATTTGCATTTCGCAAACAGGGTAGGCCAGCCCTCTACATTTTGAAATTTAGTTCATGTTGCCACCCAATGCACAATCACTGATCAAAAACTGCTAATCGGGAACAGCAAAACAAGATTGAAAAGTTTATAGAATGTAAGATTCAAGTTTAAATTGCTGCCGTTTATGGTGGTGACAGTTAAAACTGGATATGGAACAACTGATTGGTTCAAAATTGGGAAAGGAGTACGACAAGGCTGTATATTGTCCCCCTGCTTATTTAACTTATATGCAGAATTCATCATGCGAAAGGCTGGGCTGGATGAACCCCAAGCCGGAATTAAGATTGCTGGAAGAAATATCAACAACCTCAGATATGCAGATGACACAACCTTGATGGCAGAAAGTGAGGAGGAATTAAAGAACCTTTTAATGAGGGTGAAAGAGGAGAGTGCAAAATATGGTCTGAAGCTCAACATCAAAAAAACAAAGATCATGGCCACTGGTCCCATCACCTCCTGGCAAATAGAAGGGGAAGAAATGGAGGCAGTGAGAGATTTTACTTTCTTGGGCTCCATGATCACTGCAGATGGTGACAGCAGTCACGAAATTAAAAGACGCCTGCTCCTTGGGAGAAAGGCAATGGCAAACCTAGACAGCATCTTAAAAAGCAGAGACATCACCTTACCAACAAAGGTCCGTATAGTAAAAGCCATGGTTTTCCCAGTAGTGATATATGGAAGTGAGAGCTGGACCATAAAGAAGGCTGATCGCCAAAGAATTGATGCTTTTGAATTATGGTGCTGGAGGAGACTCTTGAGAGTCCCATGGACTGCAAGAAGATCAAACGAATCCATTCTTAAGGAAATCAGCCCTGAGTGCTCACGGGAAGGACAGATCGTGAAGCTGAGGCTCCAGTACTTTGGCCACCTCATGAGAAGAGAAGACTCCCTGGAAAAGACCCTGATGCTGGGAAAGATGGAGGGCACAAGGAGAAGGGGACGACAGAGGACGAGATGGTTGGACAGTGTTCTCGAAGCTACAAACATGAGTTTGACCAAACTGCGGGAGGCAGTGGAAGACAGGAGTGCCTGGCGTGCTCTGGTCCATGGGGTCACAAAGAGTCGGACACGACTAAACAACAACAACATGGTGGTGACTTCTTGAGTCCTAACCCAACATGCAGCACTACCGTAGACATGCTTACTTGCAAGTTAGTCCTACTGGGCTTACTCTCAGGTAAAGCTGTGTTAGACTGCAATTCTGCACCTATTTAGCTATGAGTAAGCCAACAGACTTACTTCTGAGTTAGTCATGTATAGGATTGTGTTGTTGGCAATACACTCAGTTTAGCAGACCACTTGCTTTCCACAGGGAGAAATAAACATACATTATTCGGTACTACTAAACTTTTATCTACCTTTTGGGCTGCAATTTTTCCTTCTCATGAGTCTCCTGTAATACTGAGCAGTAAATATTATACTTTCATGCTAGAATTGGGTCCATCATGTTTTAATTTATAAATAAAGCTTCTGCACAAGGTAAGAGAAACCATATATATATTTATTTCCAAATCACACTATGCCTTCTTAAGTGCTGCTTCTAGTTTTAAAAGATTAAAGTGAACCTGTATTAAAATCTGAGGAAGAGAAAAGCTAGAGTAACAACCAGCATTTCAATTGGATAACCTTAAGATTTTTATGCACTCAACTTGTGGCACAAAACCTCTTAAGAGCTAGTTCTCACAACCGGCAGATGCAGACAGCTGAAGAGTTTATGAGCTGTACCACTTACAGACTTCAGGTAGGATCTTGCATATATTTTGCATATATATTGTTTGTTTGTTTGTTTATAGATAGGGTGGAAGATTTCACCATGTGGTTCCAGCTCCCCCAATCTGCAGTGGTGCAGCACAAGGAATCCTTACCTTGTACAGAGAACTCAAACTAGGATCTCAAAACTGTAAAACTCTCAATTCTGTAAGAACTGTATTTTTGTTTCATCCCTCTTATTCTGCAAAATGTTGCCCAACTAATTAAGCGATTCTCACAGTTCTTGCCTATAATGCCTCCCTTTTTAAAGAGTGAGGAGGAGCCTACAGTCTGAAGCTTGCTTTCATTCTGTAGAGGCCAAAGGCACGCAACTGTTCTGCTTCCCTAGATCTACTGATGTGCTTACCAGCTTTAGCACTGCTTTGGTTAAAACGCTGCCATCGCTTTTTGGGCGCTACGTGGCATACATCTCTAGGCTCATCACCCAAGGAGCCTTCTCTATCCAGTCCTGAATCCAACTCCCCATTTTCAAAGGAGTTGCAGCTCTCTCTCTTTTTATCATATTCTGACTTCATTCTTATACGAACTAAACTGTCATCAGAGGAACTTGCAGAGTCTTCGTCAGGGGAGTGTCCCATCAACTCCCAAGACACTTTCCTTGCAACATCTTCCTTTGCATTGTCTAGAGCACTAGCAACTGAGCCTTGGGCAGCTCTATCCTGGCGGGGCACACTCTCAGCTGAATTAGACAACCGCTTTAGTGTTTTGCTCTTTGATGTTGCATTAGCTACTAGTTTAGATAGCTGCTTAGATTTTGGACAGCTGCGCCTTGCGGTGCAGTTTGTACCAGAAACAGAAGCGTTTGTGAGTTCCCTTTTGTTAGCACCGGGATCGATCAACTTGGTTGCGATACCATGTGAAAAAGAGGACTGACCTTCTTTGGGTTTCTGACACTCTGGTTCTCGAACACTATCTTGGCTTTTTTCTAATTTATGAGTGGTTCCCATTGTAGGCAAAGATGTCAAATCACTTGGAGTGTTACTTCCAGAACTATCATCGCTGTGAGAACTCCTATAAGAGACTATGTTCTGAGTAGTCATGATCTGCTTCTCTTTCGTCTTACTATCATGCATATCTTTCAACAACATTAATAAGGTGCTGAATTTATAATCGGGCTCAATAGGCAAATGGTTCTGCCCAGAGACAGATGAAAAGAGTAAGGGCACTGTGGTCTGAGGCGGCCCACAGTCTTTCGCTTCAACATTCATGGACCTATACGACAGCTCCTTCAGTTCTGAAAGCACGTGTTTCACAACTGCCGTTTCTATTTCAGCAGAATCACCGGGTTTCTCGTTTGTGCTGTTCAGCAGTTTGGGGCCATCAGCCTTCCCACTTTTGTTAGGCATATCTAACTGAGACCCAGGAGAACCTTTGGTAGCAGAAAAGCAGCAGTCGGGGCTACATTCATCTTCCTTAAGAGAGGAGTCTGTCCCAGCAGCAGCTTCTTTATGCTTGCATTTTATACTTCTGAACTGAGGCTGTTTTGCATCCATTTGACTTATAAACCCCTTACTTTGGAGTGTAGTGTGCTTATCTACATTGATAAGATTGTCATTCCTGTAAACTGAAGCCACCTCAGCTGCAAGGGATGGCTCACGGAATTCCTCACCTCCTGTTTCAACATTGATATTCCTGTCTAGAGAACCTTCTGGAGGTTTGCGGCTTCGATTGCTGCTTTTTGAGACAGGTGCAGAATGTTTAATATCTCTTTGCCCGGAACACAGTTCTTTTCCACTTTTATTTACAGAGTCACTATTCTTCAAGACACTATAAGCTGCTGCTGCTGCTAAACTTTGGTCAAGGGAGTCTAGATCACAGGTACTGTTATCCGATGAATCAGAGTCTATTTGTTTCCTCTCTGCTCCAGCATCAGTTCTGGAATAGTGCTGCTGTAGCTTTGAACTGCACGTGAAGCCTGCTGGATTTCTCTTTTTCTTCACGTCCGCTTTGGATGTTTCCTGCTGGCAGCTGCTATTAGAGATATCAAACCCTGGTTTCTTATATTTGTTTTCGAATTGTCTTTCTCCAAAAGAAGAGAGCAAGTAGTTTTCCATGCTGCCTTTGGATCCCATTAGGCTCTTTGCTATTCTGCAAAGTTCATGAGAAGCCTGCTTCTCTGGCATATCTGCAGCAACCATATTTTTAGCTTTGCTTACTGGCCCTTTCCCCACACTTTCTCTCTTGGATGCCTCCATTTTGGTGCTACTTTTTCTTACTCTAGTTCTCCTCCGGGTGTCGGAGCTCTTCTTGTTTCGGGATTTGGTGAACACTTTCCCCTTATCATGGGTCAAATGTTTGGAGTCCAATGTTAGTGATTTCAAACATCCATTCAGTTGTCTGCTCTGTTCATTTAAGGAGTCCTTTGTACAAGATCCCATTAAATGCACATCCTTCTCACTGTCCGGTTTGCTGGAAGTCGGGATGTATTTTTGAGCACTGTTCTGCTTTAGATAATCATTTGTAAGGCCAACACTGATCTCCCATTTTGCCAGAAACCTCTTAGGAACCTGGAAAGTATAGGAAGGGACAAAAACAAGTTACAAAAAAATTATAATACAGAAAAAGGTGAAATTACACACAGATATGAACATTATCTTCTTTCACAAAATGTAACTGCAGCACATAACTAATTAAAGTACGCAGATCAAAGCTAGATTCATGGAGAACATGAATGTGACTTGTCATTTTTTATTTTGTCAACAAGGCCTAGAACATCATCTCTTGTCACAATGGACCCAGTTCCTCAGACTCCCTTCCTGTGAAAGTTAGATCAGGCACAGAGATCTGCTATATATAATCCCCTGTCATCTGAAGGTACAAGCGCCTAAATGATGTTCTGCTACTTCAATTGTTTTATAGCATCCCCTATTGCCTGCTTACATTTATTTTGCCAAAATTTGTGCTCCTTTTTGTTTTCCTCATTGGACAAGACTTTCATTTGCTAAGCAGGCAATAAGGGATGCTATAAAACAATCAAAGAGCACATTGCTTAAACATAAATACTAACAATAGACTATTATTTAAATACATTAGTAGCAGAACATCATTTAGGCACTTGTACCTTCAGGTGACAGGGGATTCAAAGGTATGCTAGAGGAGGATAAAGAGACTGCAGAGAAGCTGAATAAATTATTTGCATCTGTTTCCTTGGTGGATTATAGCAGATCTCTGTGCCTGATCTAACTTTCACAGGAAGGGAGTCTGAGGAACTGAGTCAGTTGTGACAAGAGAGGATGTTCTAGGCCTTGCTGATAAAATAAAAAATGACAAAAGAAACCTTTTTGGCTCTAATAGCTCTTTGCCTCTGCTCATTAACCACTCTGGTATCCTCCTGGCCCTGGTGACACCTTTCCTGACCTGGAGAGATTTGGCTCTCTTGATTATGCCTTTCAACTTCCTTTTCCTTTCCCCCAATCCCTTCATTTCAGGAAAGTTTCATCTTTTGAAGTCAAATGTGACTGTGCTGGATTTTCTTGGCAACTGTCCATTTACAAATGTATGTAATTAGTTAGAACTATGGTCACTGCTCCCAGTAGGTACTATAACATTTACATCTCACACCAGGTCCTACATGCCACTTAAGTCCAGGAAGAGTCTGCTCCTTTGGGGATTTCTAGCTTGTCGGACTCTATGTTTTCTTTCACACACTGTGGCATTGCCTCCAATATGCCCTTCTTGGTTCTTCTTATAGAGTTTGTACCCAGAGGTAACTGTGCTCTATTGGTTCTCTCCATTATAGCAGGCTTCCATTATGTCCACTATATATCAATGCTCTCATCTAAGGCCAAGCACTCCAGCTCACTCATCTTGACTCAAGAGGCTTCTAACACCAGTGTGTGTACACACACACACACACACACACACACACACACTCCTTCCAAAGGAGTCTAAAGTGGCAAACAACAAGGAATAAAACACTCCACATTTTAAAAACAATCCAAATACATATGCACAGTGGGAAATATATCAACTCAAAAGGCTTTTTACTCCATCTCCACAAATCTGACACGTGCTTGCCTCTCAGTTGCTATCATGTGCCCCTGCGCACATTCTACCCTCTCCCCAATTTAAATTATAATAATAATTCCCCCCCTTCCTCTCAGGGCCACGATTTGTTCTGAACAGGACTCTGCAGCTGCTTTCAGCTTCCCCCACACAATCAATTTAAAAGCTGCTCTGTCACCTTTTTTTATTTTAAGCGCCAACAGTCTGGTTCCATTCTGGCTCCCCGAGAGCTTAACAAGTTCCAAAACTGGAATATAGCTGAATCCTTCTGATCCTAGTCTCAAGAAAATGGTTGCCTGGATGTTTTATGCCAGAACCTCAGTTTTGGAAATATTAACACAGAGCTGGCTCCAGAAGGAATTCAAGCTGTAGACTAAGATTTTGAAATACAGTGGTACCTCGCAAGACGAAAAACTCGCAAGACGAAAGGGTTTTTGGTTTTTTGAGTTGCTTCACAAGACGAATTTCCCTATGGGCTTACTTCGCAAGACGAAAACGTCCTGCAAGTTTGTTTCCTTCTTCTTAAAACTGTTAATACAGTTGCGACTTGACTTCGAGGAGCAACTCATAGCACGCGGTGTGGTAGCCTTTTTTGAGGTTTTTGAAGACTTTGGTGATTTTTGAAGCTTTTCCAAAACTTTTCCGAAACCGTGCTTCGCAAGACGAAAAATCGCAAGACGGAAAAACTCGCAGAACGAATTAATTTCGTCTTGCGAGGCACCACTGTACAGCAGGTTTTCCTTCCTGCCCATATTACTCCACATTTGCCCTTCAGATACAATGTTTTCTCTATTAATAACATTGAAACGTGTTGTCAAAAGTTCTCTTTATATACCTGCATCTAACATAATGGCCCGATTTACACGATTATATTTCCAGTCTATTCTCAGGTAGCTATATGGACAAGTCAGCACAAAAGACATTCCTTTATTAGCAGCCTCCAAGTCTCAAATCATATCAGTCATTTTTAAAGCAGCTTCAAAGTATAAGAAACGCAATCCCAAAAAATGGAGCAACTTTGTAAGCTGATGGAGTTCAGTGAGAGAGTTGAGCATGAGTTTAAATTTTTCCAACTGTGATCCATGGTCTTTAAGAAGTACTTCACTTCCACTAGATCATACACCTAGGTTTTGCACTCAGATGGGAACACTCAAGTACAAACCAAATGAGAACATGAGATTTACCTTGTGCTTGTAACCTTTCTCTTTTTGCTTCCCTCTTCTCCGAAGGACAGGCAGCTCTTCAAACTGATGTCTTCCTTCAAAGACTACAATAGCTTTCCCCACAACCCAAGCTCTTTCAGATGGGTCTCCCAAGGCTTCCACATAGTATTCTCGATGTGGTCTGCGATTGGACACTATCAAAGACAAAATTGGCAAGATTAGCATTTGGTGTCAAGGTGTAGGAATGCCCCCAAAATATTTTCTAAAACATATCTAACAAATGGGACCTGGAATAAATGATGCAACATTGGGGAGGGGGGGTTGCACCCTTGTTTTGTATTTCACTCAGGACTCCCCAGAGCACACTGGTTCCTGCCCTCTTGTTTGTCATATGCATTAATTTGGCTCTATTTCTATTGCCACTCACCACCTGAGTTCACCATTAGAGGGTGATAGTCAAGTCCCTTTTGGACTTATTTTCTGAGTTCCAGGGTGCTGTACGGAAGGAGCAGATCCACATATTGTATGCACCAAATTTTGGTTTCAGGAAGCCATGACGATCGCTATGCCTAGGTCGATGGCTGCAGGAACAGAAAAGATGCTGGCTAAGCATCCTTGAATAAAGGGAGCATTCTTCCTACGACAAAAGCTTTGTGATAAATACGGCAGTGGAACCTATGAAGATGGGTTAACCTCTCTCTGATAGCAACACCAAAGGTGCCCCTAGATGACCGAATTCTGGTTACCTGCTATTCTAATTAAAAGCAAGGAGGAGGGCAAAATGTATTCCTGTAATCTATTCAAGCCTGAGCTGGAAGAACACAGCACTTTTGTTGAATTAAGAAAGAAGTATCTTATTACTTCAATACACTAATATAACTCTAGGTACCTTTTGATGTGAAATGTGTGGGTTTTTTTTGTTCAGGTTTTACAGTTATGTCTCTGTATGATTAGACTGGGAAGCAGCTGTTCAATGGAAAATACCCCAATTATAAACCATGGGGTGGAAGAGGGAGAGGAGTGTAGGATAAGAAGTGGGCATTTTAATGAGAGTGAAGTTTCCCCCTGTTATCTGGTAATTGTCTGCATATGTGCCTTTATTCTATATGTGTGTCACATTAGAAGATAATTCTTTTTTCAACCAACATTTTATTTCCTTTTCAAAGACTGAAGTCTTTGTTTTGGACAAGTAGCTTAAGAAAGCAGGGCAGAACCAAGTACTTTCAAGGTTCTTCTTCCTGGCGTGGCAGAAATGACTTCTAGTTTGGATAAAGAAAGCTGAGAGATTCAGGGTTGCAATTAAGGAAGAGTAATGAAGAAGTCTGAGAATTTTGGTGTAAGTCATAATTTAATGGACTGATTTTTAATGGGTAAACTTATTTAAGGGGGATACCAGAGAAAACCAGAGTATGGCTAGGGATTTGAAATGGGAGGTGTTTAAAATTAGGGAAACTGAGAAGTAAGACTGGGATGGTGCTCTTCTCTTTTTCTCTCAGTGTTTCCTTACAGCTTTTAGTTTATATTGTTTTTTCTCCCTCCCCCAACAGCACATTCCCTGAAACGCATGCTGGCTTGATGGTGTTGGGAGATGTAGAACAGGTCTGTGAATTTTGCATTTCTTGGGGCAAGCTTGTATGTTTGCTGAGATTTGTACTTCCATTTTTTTGCTCAGGAATCTTCCATCTGGAACCAACAGACCTCACCACAGCAAGTCTGGTAGATACGGAGCTTTTGGTAAAATCATTTATGTACTCATTATTCCTCCCAAGTTCTCAAGTCTTTTTGAATATCCCTACATCTCACTTACTCTCTTTCAAATCTTGAGTAATTTTCATATATTGCTTAAGCAGACCTTTATAATATAGTGAAACATTCTTACTGCATTTGCTTTTAAGTTAGCTGGACTTTAAGGGAGGGTGTTAGAAGGATAACTGGTATTTTACCTATAATAACTTATGTACTATATAAGCAGTCAGTGCAAGTTGTTTCATATAGTGCATGTAGTTGTCCCATTATAATCATTTCATCTGTAGTGTAATTATTTTTATATATATAATTTACTGTTCATTTTGTATTATGCTTTCACTGTCTTAAATAAATATACACAATTTTTCATGATATGTCGGTTATTTTTTTTGGCGTGGCTCTTGCTTTTGGTCCTATCCACATGCTCACTGAAGCAAACTAATACAGATTTAATTTAGAACCCATTTTTCAGGGAGAATTATATTAAACCAGTCTTTTTTTTTGAAATCCTGGAGAAAACTCCAAAGTTCCAAGTTTTGCTAGAGGTTGTTGGCCCTCTGCATTCACTGCTCCCTGTGTTTTACTTTTTGAATGAGTCAGGAGTTAAAAGGAGTTCAGAAGCTGTCGTCATTGGATAGATAAGCAAATGTTTCCCCAAAGAGAAACATCTTATGAATGAGTAAACAGCACAAGTTTTAATTGCTTTTTCTTCCCTGCTTCAGCATACATATTTCAGATACTGTTGGGGCGCTATTTGGACACTATGTGGACAAGAGTCTGGGAGAGGAGGTCAATGCATCTTTGGGGACCATTCTCTCAACCACTGCCTATTCTACTTCAAATTTTCAATTTTAGAAGAACAGTTTTACTCTTCAAAATGGTTCCTGGGTGAAGTTCTCAGGGATGCAAGCACAGTGTTGGGGGTGGGGATATGGGGTTCTGAAGGACAGTGGATTTAATTCAAAATACCAGAGACTTTGCAATGGTGGCACACACGTTTTAAATTTCAATCAGAGGCAATAATTTACCTGTTGTGAAGAAATGAGCATAAATTTCCGCCCTTGATCCCAGCAATTCATAACACCTCCACTTGCTCACTCCTTGCACTTGGTCCACTCTCCCTACTCCTGTCTTCTTGGCTGATTTCTAACATTTTCACATTTTTCTCTCACCACTGAAGATTTCACTTCATGACATACTCCTTCAGCAAACCCACCCACTGAACGATATTCTCTTTCCACCAAAGCCTTCCTCTTGCACCTCCTAAACTCCAGAACTTTGAGAACTCCCTTCTTCACAATCTCCCAGTATTGAATACTTGAACAGTATTATGCACGTCTACTTAAAAACAAGCCCTTTGAGTTTAACTGGACTTACTCCGAGGAAAGTGGGCACAGGATGAGACCAAGTGCAATTCTATATACCTTTACCTAGCAGTAAGTCCAACTTAACTCAATGGGCTTGCTTCTAAGTGGAGAGCCATAGGCTTCCACTACCTACCTGTAATCCTAAACAAACCCCTAAGCAAACAAGTTCCACTGATTTCCATGAAACAATCTAATTATCCCAGGTTAGGGCTGGGCCTTATTATCATCATTAGCATTCATGTAATGCCATCAATGCACATGGTTATGTATGCAATTAAAATAAGAAACGAAGGGCTTGCAATCTAAAACAGTGGTGCCTGTTACTACCCTTTCACTTTTTCATGGCAGGGTGACCAAGCCAAAAATATATAGAGAGAGTGAGTACAGGACTCCAGAACTTTTGACAGAGGAAGCTGCAGCAGGTGCAGCTTGCCTGACAAGCTATACAAACATTAAAGATACACAGCCCACCCCCTCAACATCATCATCTTCACCCCGGCAGCTTATTTGATAGCCACCCTGGTCAATACACACTTATGGAGGCTAATCTGCAAAGTGAGCTGTGTATGGATAATACAAATCACTAAAACTCTGATCATGTAATGCAAATAAAATATTATTACCTTTCATTTTTGAATGCGTGTCTAGCACAGGATCATGGGAAATTTTACAGGGCCACCATGGACGCCTGTTGAACTTTGCCCATACAAGATCTCCAGTTTCATACTTCACCGGAGCAGGTTTCTTCTTATTTCGACCCTATGGAGAAAAAACAATAAACTGCATTGATATATAATTCACTCTAGTAGAAGCTGCTTGAGCCACCAGGACTGTAAACTGCAGTTGGCTTAAATCAGTTGATTAATTGCAAGAGGCTAAGAGTGGAAGGGCACACTTGTTTATTTTTGGTTTTGAGGTATTGCTGAAATAAGGATTGAGAAAGAAAATATCACAAATCTTCTCTTATTCTACCAAGGCTCTTGTGTACTGAACTGTAAATAGCAACGTTATAATGTGAAGATTTATAAACAAGTTATTTTACACTTCCTTTGGAAAAGAAACAAAGGCAACAATATTGAGATTACGGTAGCTTGTATCTAAACAAAAAAAAGTTAAATCAACTAACTGGTTAAAAGACAGATCAACTTAACATTCTTCCAATCAGTTAACAGATCTACAACCTACACATTGTGCAGGCCCAGCAGCCAATCCTGACTCTTTTCCTCATCAAACCAAACATTTGCCAAGGGCAAACTTATATCTCTAATAAATAAGCAGTTTTTAGAACTCTAAATGTGGATGAGTTGAACACAATAGTCACCTCTCCTAATGGAAAAACAGAATGGCTGCCCTTTCCTGTGAAGGAAACAGCTAAAGCTCTAAACTGGTACTAGGCAAAAAAAAAGGGGGGGTGGGGAGGGGAAGGGAGGAAATGAGATGTTATTGCTAAAATTGAGGATTTGGATACCCTTGCCTTTAGGAGGAACATTTTCAGTTCTAATGTTTCTTAGTGAGTGCAAAATGTGATCAAAGAATCAAGCTCTAGCCTTGCTTTTAAGGTGGAACACATGGGGCTAACGTCTCCTTCCACACTCTGAAAGGCCACCTCCCTCTCAAAGGCTGGAGGACCTTCCAGAGAAGCATTCTGTGAAGGGATCCTTCCAAATAGAAATATCAACACCCAAAAATGTGTGTTCCACTTTGCATTCTAGCCATGATTCTACATGTAAAATTACGGAAGGAGGAAATTTATAATTTTAAAACTAAGTGCTACACAAAAATTATTACATTTTTGAAGCCACGATTGAAAATTAGTTCCTCAAACTAAATACAGCTTTATTAAATACGGCATCAACTTTTCCAGGTAAGACACAGAGATAGTTGCAAACTATATATCCAGACACACCCACTTTCTTTGATGGATTAAAAAGCTCCCCATATCAACACTAAATTGATTCATTTCAGCTCGCTCCAAAATCAAAAACAGAATGAATGGGTGAGCCTTTATTGCATCTTGCAGTCCCCAGAAGAACAGTGCAAAGATGTAGGTATGAGAAAGCAATAGAAAACGGTGAAACTGAATTTGTAAACATATTAAAAACAATGCTTGTTGTGATGTACGGATGGCCAAGCCATGATTTGCAATCAACCAGGAATGCAGAATCGGAAACCATGGTTTGAAAACAATGGTGGTGTAGCATGATGCCTGAATCAAGAAACCATAATTACAGACTACAGTGGTGCCCCGCAAGACGAATGCCTCGCAAGACGGAAAACCCGCTAGACGAAAGGGTTTTCCGTTTTTGAGTTGCTTCGCAAGATGAATTTCCCTATGGGCTTGCTTCGCAAGACGAAACGTCTTGCTAGTCTTGCGATTTTTCCCCCGCTTCCCCCCCTTTTTCTAAGCCGCTAAGCTGCTAATAGCCTTTTAGCAGCTAAGCCGCTAAGCCTTTAATAGCCGCTAAGCCGCTAAACCGCTAATAGCGCTAATCCGCTAATAGGGTTGCTTCGCAAGACGAAAAAACCGCTAGACGAAAAGAATCGCGGAACGGATTCTTTTTGTCTTGCGAGGCACCACTGTACATTTGTGCTTCTTAAATGTCCAGTTAAAAATGCTGCATGCTGATTTTAACTAAATTTTAATATGTGAGGATGAACAGCTGAAAAGCAGAAGGAAGAGGCAGTGATTTGATGGAGATGCAGAAGGTACTGTAGGGTGCTTAATTCTTGACCTGTTTCTCTAGAACACAGGAAAACCACACACCTGGAAACCCAAGGTGGGGGGGAAATAAACTGGGGAAAGTAGGTTCAGAAGAAAAGCATCTCCTTCTCCCCTTCCAAATTGTGCCCCCCCCCTCCATAGCAAGGTGGTAGAACACATATTTAGAACAATTGCTTTGCATACTAAATGTCCCCCATTCAATCCATGGCCTTTCCAGGTAGGCCTTAGAAGGACAACTCTGGACCTCTGATGCTAGTCAGAGTAGCAAAACACTGAACTAGGTGGACCTATAAGATATAAAGCTGCTTCCTATGTTGCTTTCAACTCTTTAGCAGAAACCCAAGTCCTCAGATAAAGATCTGTCACAGAAATTTAGCTCTCATGTAATTTGTCATCAGTTCTGAAGTGAAAAGTTGTGAGTTCAACATTAAATTATTGGAGCCAGAGCACAACTGTACTAGTCATCTACTTCAATTTTCCACTACATAGAATACAGAGAAAGAGGAAGTGCCAAGGGCACATATCTGCAGTTAGGAAGACTTCGTGCTCGCAAAGTTAATTAAGAATTAAAGTGTGATTCAAAATGAAAGATACGCCTTGTTTTTTAAACAGACCAATGTTTTTAAAATTGTTATAAAACCATAATCTAAGTCCCCCAAATGTTGACCTTTTCTAGTCCAGCAAGCAATATTTAACTTTTTTTATTTAAAAAAAACCCATGATGCATTATGAGTCACAGTATTAGACTAATACAACATTAGGAAAGACACTACACATAAGAGAACATTCTTATGCTTGAGTTATACTGGCTGAGGGGCTACGTGGAACTCTGTGGAAGGAGAGACACTGGTGCCATAACAGATATGGCAGCATAGCACCATGGAATTGCAGCTGTTCCACTGGCACAGAAATGGCAGAGTGAAGAAGCACTTCCCCACAGACCACTACCACATCCTCATTGACAACGTAGCTTTACAACAGCCCCAGACCACGTGCAAGAAATTTCTTCCCATTTACAGCAGTGGGAGGAAAACAAATCAAAAAATAGCCACCGCCCCGCCTCAGTGAGCACCTCTCTCACATAGGCTATGGCGTAGTCTCAATGCCCAAATGCAGCCTACCACCACAAGTATATAAACCACATACAGGGAGGTCATAACTCAAGATGACAAGTCATGCAGCGTGGGGCTTTTATTTCTCTTGTCTCTGGCGACACAGGGCTCACAAGAAGGGACTCCAGCAATACAAAAGAGGAAGAAACGGTGCTCTGCACACAAAGGGAACTCTTTGCACAAACAACGTGTGTCCCCAGAACCCTGCCAGGAACTGGAGCACAGTGTGAACATTTGTTTTCCTGAACCCTCACAGGAACCTTGCAGCAACTCCCTCACAGCACTCGTAACAGCTGGGGGTGCCAGGACAAAACACCCCACACAAACAAGTAAGGGGACAGGGCAAGCATGCTACAAAATACATCCATTTTTCACCGTCTCCCACATCTCATCACCTCATCGCCACATACTATCCAAACTGTATTACTCTAACGCTATGCTTCAGCATAGCGATTTATGGTGCTGGAGGAGACTCTTGAGAGTCCCATGGACTGCAAGAAGATCAAACCTATCTTAAGGAAATCAGCCCTGAGTGCTCACTGGAAGGACAGATCCTGAAGCTGAGACTCCAATACTTTGGCCACCTCATGAGAAGAGAAGACTCCCTGGAAAAGACCCTGATGTTGGGAAAGATTGAGGGCACAAGGAGAAGGGGACGACAGAGGACGAGATGGTTGGACAATGTTCTCAAAGCTGCTGAAGCATTGTTGTTGTTTAGTCGTTTAATGGTGTCCGACTCTTCGTGACCCCATGGACCAGAGATGCCAGGCACTCCTGTCTTCCACTACCTCCTGCAGTTTGGTCAAACTCATGTTAGTAACTTCGACCTCTTTCTTTGGAACACACATTCACTTCCTACATTTCAAAACCCAGCACATAAACACAGATGCCATTCTAATTTTCAGTTCTCCTTGTAAGGTAGCTTATAGAGATGATCACACTAAGTGAAGAAATTGCTAAACAAATTATATTAAATTCACAAGCGCTCAGTCATGGCAGAGACGTATCAAGCTCAGCCAAAAGCTCCCTTTTGAAACAGTCATACTATTAATAGTCTTAATTATTGCACATACCCAATAACTATCTTTTTCATAAAGCCACTTTAAAGCGGTTTTCAGCTCCACCGATCTCATTGGAAGCAGCAGAATAAATCACATGCTTGCACAAATTAACACTAGGGTTCTGTCTCCAGCGAATATCATTTCTGTAGCTTTTCTCCATCTCATTAACAACTGTGATGCTCCTTGCTCATTAAGAAAGTGATGGGAAGATTACATGCACTTTCTAGTTCCCTAGCAATCCAAAGAATGGCTTTAAATGGCCTTGGCACCTCCCCACCCCCTTCTGTGAGAGTTTTGCTTTGGTGTTTTTGGCTGAGGGAGAGATTAGTTCTACTGTACTTGAAACAGAACTGTAGCTATGATTCAGGTGTTCTCCAGGTCTCTCAAGAACAACAACATTTGCACAGTGCCTTAATTGTTAAAGTGCTTAATCCACATTATCTCATCAATCTTCACTACTACCTTATAAAAATAGTTAAGCCCAGTCCTATTTCCCCCTGCATATTTCAGGCGGAGGGGCTGAACCATGGCTGTGCTAGGTCAAGAGGACTGCATCCTGCCCTTCAAAACAAATCTTGGTATTACAGAACCAAGAAGTGACAGTGAATATAACACTACCACTTGAGTTACTCAGCAGGGAAGGTCTCCTAGGCACAAACAGCCCTGACTTGTGATTTTAAAACAAAAAAAATTAAAGGGGGAGGGCAAATGCCAAGAGCTCTCTTTGAGCCACTGAAAATGTCTGGGGGAGGGATATATATGGCCTGCAGGTTTGCCAGCCCTGCTTCAGAGGGCATGCAACTCTGTTCTGTTCACACCTAGTAGTATGTTTGTGAAATACTGTACAGTCGTACCCTGGTTGTC